TTAATAGAGCTGAAGTGGAATGCCTCATCAGGCTCTTCGACACGCTGATGAGCGCGTCCCACAGCCGCTTTGCCGCGGTCGGCTTCGATCGCAACGTGTTTCGAGACACCCTGCACCGCGCCTTCGGCATGACGGACGACGTGCTCATGGACAGAGGTGAGGACCGCGGGCTCAGCAGGGCTGCGGTGCTTCCTCTGCAGCCCTTGGCCAGCCCGTCTGAACAGCGATCTCTACAACAGTTCCCTTGAAGACCTGCCAGGTTATGTGGAAACCTGAATCTAGTTTCTGTCTGTTTTCTTATTCCAGTGAGAATAGTGGATCCCTAAAGCCAAGAAAACCCCTTAGACCACTATGAAAGAGGTTGACAAAGCAGAAAAGTTGTATGCGAACAACTGCTACCTCTGTGTGAGGGTGGAAGGGAGGTGGAAGGCTGAAGTGTCCATAGGGGAGGAAAAAAGTACATTGCTGACCCAGTGAGCATTCCTGGACAAAGGATTGTTGTCTCAGCCATGTAGGGGCAGCCAAAGAAGTCATGCAGGGTGCTGCTGAGTATATTTCTTTACACAGAATGGTTTTCCCGTGGTTTGGGAAGGCTCACACTCTTGCATGAGGAAGGCCTGGCAGATAAGGAACACCGGGGGTGCTGAGTGTGGATATGTCGGTCCCAGACACCCTTAGTGCCGTGACAGAAGAGGGCAGCGCAGTGCCACTGTCCTTCCTTCTGTGGCTGCAGGACTTGGTGGCCATTGCAGCTGGTGGAGGGCTCTGTCATGGACTTGAAGGTGTTTCTCTGCTTGAGGAAAAATGTTTTTATCTTTTCATTGAACATAAGGAAATATTTATTTGCGTTTCTGTATTACATAAATTTAAAATGCATCTCATAACCCTTTCCAGTGTTCCGCACTTTCGATAGAGACAATGATAATTACATCAGTGTGGTGGAATGGGTGGAAGGCTTGTCGGTATTTCTTCGGGGGACACTGGAAGAAAGGATTAAATGTAAGGTTTATCTGCATGCTAGTACTTAGTGGTAATTATAGTATTCAGGAATATTGAATTACACATCACTTTCATTTTAATAGATTAGTTAATCAAAGTGTTTAATAGTTGACAAATTTTCTTCTGTAGTGTTCAGTGAAAATGATTTCTGAAACCATTTCTCTGAGACAGATTATTGTGTAATTGTGTATTACTGTGTTGCTGACAGAAAATCTCTTGAACTGAAGCTTGTTCTACTGTATGGTTTTGACAGAATTTATGTTTTTGTATTCCCACACAAAGCTGGAAGTAAACATGTAGTTTAAGGGGAAGGGGGTGGCTGGATAACAGCCTCCTCAGGCAAACAAGACCTGTGCCAGCATTCATGTACTGGCACAATGGGGACAAGCAGCAGTTACGTTGATTCTAGCAGTTATTCAGCTCAGAAGTATAGATGGAAAAACTAAGTCCATTTTTTAAAATATTCCTAAGAACCTTCAGGGTAATGATGGAGAAAGATGGTAGAGAAAAAAATGCAGGAACTCTAGAATTTTTAAAAGCAGCAAAAGGGGGCGGGAGGGGGAGGAAGAGATTGGGGGTGGAGGGGGAGTATTATAGAAAAAGGAGAATGATAGCATGTTGTTTCCATGGTTTCAGCATCAGCCATCCATAATATGCTGTCAAATTTTATCATAAAGCATTACACTGGAACATGGCTTGGGATGTCACACCACTAGGATATGTGCCAGGATGTAACATCAGAAGAACCACAGGCCATAAAATATGCAGCCCTGCAGTGAGCACTCTAGGATATACTGGTGTGTGATGGCACGCAGTGGTGTTTATCATAAGTTTATGCTAGTACGATTTTTCACTGTACAAACCCATTAGCAGGGGAAAAAAAAATCTGCCCCCAAAGTAAAAACTTTTGTTTGTTTTTTTAAATAAGTTTTGTGAAGGATACTGAAACGCGTTATAGTCCTAGATTTCTGATTTCAGGGAGGCAGAAGAATTTGCAAGATACATTAGTCAGATGCCTGCGCTGAAAATATTCTGTTGCAGATTTACTCTTTGCCTTTAGAGACACATCAGTTGCTTTTTCCATGCTAGTACAACTCATTCTTTTTCCTCTGTTTTTCTAAAGCAGTTTCTGAAGTAACTGGGACATGATTTGTATGTTCAAAGCCCTTCTGATACAGACAGCTGGTCCCAGCCACAAGAAGTTGGGTTTCTAAACGAGAGCCTAATTTATGTTCTAAAAAGCTACTCTCAGGGAAGTTAAGATCTGTAAGCTACTATCGTTTTTATGAACTGAAGAAATAGATTTCAACTATAATGGGTAAATAGGCAATAATTGAGCAGTATCAAAATGTGATAGGTATATTTCATACATAAATAGTACGAAAATCATAGAACATCCCGAGTTGGAAGGGACCCACAAGGGTCATCAGGCCCAACTCCTGGCTCCATACAAAACCACCCAAAATTCAAACCCTGTGTCTAAGAGCAGCGTCCAAATGCTGCTTGAATTTCAGCAGCTTGCGGCCATGGCCACTGCCCTGGGGATTGTGTTCCAGGGCCCAGCCACCCACTGGTGAAGAATCTTTTCCCAGTATCTAATTTGAATATGTTAAATTTTGCTCAATACATATGCTGTACAACATATAATTCACCTTTTCTGTCTATAGGCAACAGCTTTATTGATGGGTGATCTAGTTTGTATGAACTTTAAATTTTATCTTTTGAAAAGATTGTTTTGAGGTTTATGACCTGAATGGTGATGGATATATTTCGAGAGAGGAGATGTTTCAAATGCTGCAAAACAGCCTTCTCAAACAACCATCAGAAGAAGATCCTGATGAGGGAATTAAGGACTTGGTAGACATAGCACTGAAGAAAATGGCAAGTACTTTCCTATTGTGACACTTAACATCTCTCAAGCTTGTGCTCCCCATAGGAGGCTGGACTTCAGGAATTTCAGTTTCGCCCTATGCCTTGAATAATAGTCGTAGTGCACCTTTTAAAAAAAATCTATTATTATTGATTTTTACTTAAGGCCTTTACTTTATGAGGATTAAATAAATGCTTACTGTAGCTCAGATCTTGTCTGAGCAGACTGATGGCCCAAGGAAGATTTTTGCATTAAAAAAAAAATCCACGAGTTAAGTAAACAGGCAATTACTACAATACTTTGCTAAGGACTTCTCCTTGTGTAGGACCATGACCATGATGGCAAGCTTTCTTTTGCGGACTTTGAAGAAGCTGTCAAAAATGAAAATCTTCTCTTAGAAGCCTTTGGACCATGTTTGCCAGACGTAAAGGTACATCAGCCTTCACTTAAAAAAAAACCTGTCTTCTTACTATTTTTAACTATATGTTCAAATTATGGCATTAACTGTCTTTGTATGAAGTTTGCTGAATTCATCTGGTGCTTCAGTTGTGAGATTTTCCGAGTTCATGTCTGCCTGTCACAGTACACATTTCCTGATACAGTCAAACACTGATACCAGGGAGCATAGAAACATACTATGTCGTGCCACTTACCTGTGCGTGGCAGCAATACAATAAATGATTCTCAGTAAGCATCCTCCCAGGCTAAGAAAATGAGATCAGTCTCTTGCAGTTTATCTGAAACTTCTTCAGGAATGCAGTGTCTGTTCTTCCTTCAGTGCCACTGGCTCCACTGCCATTCTTTTGGGAGAAACTGGTAACCTTCTGAGAAAATACCTTAGAATTGTCATCTCATAGTACAGTGCTTCTATTGTTAAATGCCATCCGACTGAGCTTTATTTATTAGCAGCGCACCCAATTCAGAGAGATTTTTTTCCTGAAAGATGGTCATTTGGGATTGCAGTAATTTCCTCAGTGTTACATCAAACTGAAGCATAGATGTCTGCTTTGTAATAGTCATTTTTTACTAATCCATCATTATACTCTTTGAACTGCATTTTGTTTTTAAATGCCAACAGTCTTGCCCTCATGGAAACGGAAAAACAAAATTCTGACATACATGCAATAATGCATAGAAACAGAAAAGTTCCATAAGATTGTTGAAAACAAGGCAAGCATTTATTTCGCTCAGAACCTACATTTCATGCCAGCTCCCCTTCCTAGTAGGCTGGAAGACAGAAGGAAGAAGTCTCATAGCTGTGGCTGCAGTCTGGATTATCTCAGGTCACCAAACAGGAGCTGTTTTCAAAACCTCACATTTTAAAAGGCTGTCAGTAGGCTTTCAGTGACCGAGGGTCAGTACTTCTATTTTTCTCTATCGGGAAAGTTTTGAAGAGTTTCTTAACAGCATTTACTTTCACTGATCACAGCCCAGGAAAAATGATTTGCTTTTTGTCAGAATTGGTGGTAAATCAGGGCTACAATTCCAGCCACTTGTGGCAACAAATAGGAAACTGAGTCAGTTTCTTAATTCCACTGTTTGTGTGTCTGTTCTGCACCCTACCCAATGGTACCTTTTTATGAGGTCTCTAGTTCCTTTTTTAAAAAGAACTGTTTATATACCCTTCCAAATCCCCAAAAATCAATAGATTTCAGCTATGAGCACTTCTGAGCATGAAGAAGCTCAGAATTCACAAGCTTTCCTAGTGTGGTTATAACTCCAAACACTGTGATCAGTTTCTTGATGACACTAATGATACTGGATTTAGCTTTTCCATGCTACAAAGTATTGTTTCACTACTTATACACTTCAGTTGGCCCTCTTTTTCTAACTAAATGTAAATGTTCTAGTTAACTGAGAAAAAAAACTTGTATTTTTCTCCTGATTTAACAGAGCAGTATGGCATTTGAAAGGAGGACCTTCCAGGAAAAGCGTAAACTGTAACTCCAACTGGAAGACTGCTCTAAGAATTCTTCATCATTCCTCATAGGACAGTAGAAATAAAAGCAACACAAAATAATTGATATCTTAAATTTCAATATTCCTTTACTGTAAAAGCTGTGGAATAAATAGAATTTGCTTTTATTACTTTAACTAATTGCAGTTCTTTAAATACACAGGACAAGGTTGCTACAGTATTACACTGGTTTAGTTTTTAATACTGGAACTGTTTTTAACAAGTAATTGCTTGGCAATGCAGTATAAAACAATTTTGTTTTTTAAATTAAAAAAGTAGTAAGTATTTTAAATTATATCCTCAATAAAGAACTGTAGAAAGATGCTGCCAGCAGTATCTATATTCTTCTTCTCTGCTTTACTGGTGGCTTGGTGGCACTAGTGCCTGGTTTTTCCACAGGTGTACTCGAAACAGAATCTGCTACCTGAAACAGGGAAAAAAAAATTCTAAGTGAAGCATAACCATTGTTGGGTTTTTTAATGTTAGTTTTAGAATAAGGCTGTTTCTTCAGTCTGTGAGTACTAACAGGCATATATTCTTATAATCACACTTGCATTGATTTTTTCAATAGAAAAGGGAGAGAAGTAACACCAAAGGCAGCATTAAATGTGAGAGCTAAAACTCTTAAGAAATGCAAATGTGCTATTCTTTGTTTTTGAGAAAATTTCAATCACACAAATCAATTTCAGATGCTCCATGATATACACTATTCAATATTTTATCACTTGCTCTCCATAGCAGAGGTGCTTCAAAATAAAGTCTGGTACACTTTTTGGACTTGGTTGGATATTTTGGGAAGGGAAAAATGTGTTTTTGGCAAGCATTTTAGAAATACACTTTTTTTTTAAAAGGATGTGTGAAAATGAAAATATCAGAACTTTAAGAATCCATACCTCTTTCAGTTTATTTCGAATCAAGGTGGCTGAAGTGTTCAGTGAATCATCATCCATATCCACTTTAGGTATTTCTGGTAGCTGTGGACCAATGACTATGTCAGTACTGTCCACGTTTGTTTCAATGAGGGCAGATTTGTTACCCTCTTCTCTCTTCCTCTTACGTTCCTGCAGGTGAGTTGTACGAGGCATAAACCTGTCAGTTCCATTATCAACTGGAACTGTTCTTTGCTGAATTAAAGGCAGTGGTGAAGCACATCCTCCTGGACGTGTCTTCAGAGATAGGGATGTGCTGTGACCAAAGTTCCCAGAGACTTCAGCACTGTGGTTGTCACATTGGGGAAAAGTCAATAAGCCCTGACTGTGATTGCCAGAAGGATATTCCGTGTTTTGGGACAACCCGTGAGAATCTGGAAAGCAGGATGGATCCCAGTGACTAGCTGCATACGATGCTGATGTGCTCCACTGACTGTCAGACTTGGTCTTTCTAGGCCCCTCTGTTTTCTTCAACAGAAAGCAATCTTTAAAACAGAGAAGCCAAAAAAAACAAAAACAAAAACAAAAAAACCTTCATTATTTTATGCCATTAGTTCTAACACATAAGGAGTGTTCAATACAGTGACAGAAACGCTACCAGCAACACTTCATTCCCGGTTACCTTTCTGTGATTCTGCTTAAGAAGCACCTTAAGAAATAACCTCCTGCAATGAATACTGATATCCAAGTACATAAGCATAAGAAAGGAGAGGCCTGTACTTGGCACTGTACTTATTTTACAGCTCGTCCATCCTTCAGCGCTGCCTGGGAGCTCAGCAGCAAGGCTGCCTGTCAGCCCAATCCATTCTTCACATTCCTTACATAGCCAAATGGCAGGCTGGAAAAGGTTTGGGTTTTTTGGTTGGTTCTTTTTATGTGCTTTTTTTTTTCCCCTCTTACAAAACTGTCTTTTTGGCTATGCCTGAAAGAACTGCAACAAGGGGGAAAAAACTGATCCCCACTTTGCTGGCTGTGCTTAAAATTTCAGGTAACATTTTGAAAAGAGAACAAGAGAAGCAAACAGTGAGGTTTTAAAGCTTTAAAGTGCACATTAACTAAAACATTGCTTTCTGAAAGATGCATCTTTAAAAATAACTGAGAAATGTCCTAATTCTGCATCTTTTAAAACAGCTAAATACAAAATATTTTCTTTAATGGATGCTTTTGGCTTTACCAAGACCCACCAACCACTGATATCAAGATTCTACATGAAATTTAGTTACAAACCTGTTTGATTTGTTGCTTTTGCTATATACTTCCTTCTGTCCTGCAGCTTCTCCCTAGTTTCTTGGACTGTTTCAAATTCTGGCGCATAGCACACGTGCAGCAAACTCCCAAAGAAACTCCGTTCATCCATTTTTTTCTTGGCCACCCTGAAGGAAACTAAATGGCATTAGCAGAACTGTGGGCTTTACTTCAACTCTCTGGAATGTAGATCATACACAGAGGCCGTGAAGGATTAAAACAGCAAAAGGCAGTTACTGCTCTGTACAATACCTCGCACATTGGAGATTCTGGAATTTTATAAGATAAACTTCAGTAAATTGCTCTGCAGGATATTCATCGAGGGCATGGTACTCTTCTATGGCACCGTACAAGGCAAACTGCTCCACTAATTCCTTCATGACACCTAACGCAGGAACTCCCTGGATCAGTAAATAACGAGATTCCAAGTTGATGGTATACACCTGAAAGAAACAGAGTATTCTCAAACGCCCGCGTTCTGGCTTCACTGCAAAAATAGCAGCTCAAAGCACTCGCGTTGCCGCTGCTGCTGAGCCGCTCTCGGGATGGCGGAAGGCCCGCTGCGCTCCGCGCACAGATGGGATCCGCAGCAGGAAGGCCGGAGCCTGGCCGGCAGACAGCGAGGTGCGGCTACCCGGGGCCGCCGCGGGGAAGAACGACCGCAAACCTCCTACTCGTCGCAGAACGTCAGCGAGAGCTGACGCTTCTCCACGGCTCAGAGCGTTTGCGGAGGCCATCTCCGCACGGCGCGGCCAGCCCGCCCTCGCTCCGCACCTTGACGGCCCTGGGCCGCCGCCCCTCGCGGTACTTGGCGCGCGACCCGCAGGCGCCCAGCTGCTGGTGGTGCCTGCACGCCTCCCCCAGCGCGCCGCCACCGCCCCCCGCCGCCATCTTCCCAGCCACTGCCGCTCCCCGCGCAGGCGTCTCTAGCCGCTCGCCGAGCAAGCAGCCAATCGGACGGCGCGCGGCACGCCGCCCTTCTCTTATCGGCTCTTGCAGGAGCGGAAGCCGTCGAGAGGCCAGGCGGAACGAGCTGCGGCCCCCGATGGAGCGGCCAATCAGAGGACGGGAACGCGTAGATGCCGCGACCGCATTGGTCGGCAGCGGGTCGTACCATTGTCCCGGGGGCGGCAGGGGGGAGGAGAAGGAATCTCGGGAAGGCCCGGCCGCCCCGAGCGGGCAGTTCGGCGCCAGGGCGGGGCAGCGCGCAGCGGCGGCGGGGCCCGGCTCAGCCCGGCCCAGCCGGCCGCCAGCATGTGGGGCAGCGGCAACCCCGGCGGAGGGGGCGGCGGAGTCGCCGCGGCGACGGTTGTGCTGAGCGGGACCCGGGACTGCTTCCTGCACCTGCCCGCCGTGCTGGCCTCGCACCTCCGCCTGCAGCAGGTACCGGGCCGGGGACGCCCCGTTCGGAGAGCATTGTGGGAGAGCGGGGCCCCCCCACCGCATCCCGTCGCTATGGCGACGCTCGGAGCCCTCCTCTCTCGCCCGACGTCAGCCGCCTCCGCTGTCGCTATGGAGATGGCGAGCGTCCTCCGCGCGGGCCGGGACCCCTCGCCCCCTTCCCGGGAGCTCTGCGCCCGTGACGACGCGCAGCCTATAGGGTGCTGCGCGGCTCGGACGGCCCGTCGGGTAGCGCCTCGGGGCCCGGCCCTCGCGGGCCGGAGTGCGGCCGGGCGGGGCCGTGCCGAGCGCCGGGCTTCTGGCACGCGTTCTGCTCAGTAATGCGTGCAGCCGGCCGCAATTCGGCCCTGAGCGCGGCGTTACGTTTGCTGCAGGAAATCCGGCGTAAACGTACGTGTTGTGGCAGGCTACTTATTTCGTGTAGTCTGCAAAACGCAGACGGTTGGGCTCTGATACCCTGATAGAAGTAACACGGAATGCGGTCTGCTGAATCACGATGTTCTAAGGGGCTTAAATCACGGAATCGTAGGGGAAGGGACCTCAAGAGATCAGCGAGTCCAACCCCCTGCTAAAGCAGGTACCCTGCAGTAGCTCATACAGGTAGGCAGCCAGATAGGTTTGAATAGCTCCATAGAAGGAGGCTCCACAGCCTCTCTGGGCAGTCTGTTCTGGTGCTCTGTCGCCCTTACTGAGAGTTCTTCCACTTATGTTAATTGATGATCCTGAACAAAGTGCAATCTACAGCTGAATCTGATTGCACAAGGCATGGGGTAAGTGGGTATTAAAACAGCCCTGGGAACTGGGAGTTGTGTGAGGAGTGAGACACATGGAAGAAAAGCTTTATCCTTGTGAGCGCAGGTGTGTGACATACTCCAGTAAAGCAGTCTTGAAACCAGGTGTGTTTCCAAATCTTAACAAAGTATTGAGTAATATTTGAAATTATTAGGAAGTGAATTGTGTGTATTCTGTACAGAAAATGACCTGCATAGAAACATTGCTATCTCAAAAAGCATATCAGTGGCATATTCACAGCACATGTTGTCTTCATCACTTGGTTTTCATCAAGTTATGTCATTTTTGCAAAAACCTTAGGAAGTGAGAATTGAGTGATGCATCATAGAACAGTCTCAATGAGAAAATGGGATGAATGTATCCAGATTCATAAGTTTGGAATGGAAATAGCTGGGCGGTTCTGAAAGAGATGGATATGATCATTTTGGTATGAGTTGATAAGACTTGTGACTTATTCTAAATGTTGCCTGGCTTGTGGCAGCTCTCCTGGGATCTGTGAGAATGTTAGAGTGCATGAGAAATTTAGTCATATGCCCATGTGTTTTCCATACATAGGAAGTAGGAGCTATGCATTCCTTTAGATACACGGTATAATGTAGAAGAAGGGAAGTACAGAAAGGTTTCCTTACTTAACAGCCTATAAAAGTGAAAGTCTGTATAAAAGAAGTAATCAATCCACAAGAGTTGTGCAAATAGGCTACATGAAGAATTCTATGGGAAGTCTCAATTAACAAGAAGTTAACTACTCTGCCAGCATCACAGATTTTCTGTCCTGGAATCACCCTTTACTAGTGTATCATAACCGTTGCAAGTTGTTGTTACAGAGTAGTAACAGGCGTGTAAAATCCAGAAAACACTTTTAAATCCCTTGTAGCCCTCTATGCAGTTACAGGTTAGTGATCTTTCTTGCCTGGTTTGAAAACAATTCATTTTATTTATCTGAAACTCATAGGGCCAAGCTGTGAAAGTATCCTGTGGTGATGAGCCCATATACTTGAGCTGGATGGAAATAAGGCATCGAGGTCACCGGAGTGAAAATATTGCAGAGATGAACAGGCATTTAGCAGAGAAACTTGGCATTGCAGATGGAGAACAGGTTTGAAATGCCATTTCCTTCTTTCTTTTTTTCTTCATTTTGGGTTTAAATTTTCTTCCCTTATTTTCCCTTCCACTGTATAATCCTACATCCTCTGTCTCTAAACATGCAGTTCAATTTGCCTCTTACTCTTGGGCAGGGTGCTTAACTTGTAAATGATTCTTTCATTGGAGAAAAGTTGGGAAAATTTCCTAGAGGCAGACAAAGCGTTGTGTCACGGGATGTTAATATCTCAACATCCAGATTGTGGGGTTTAAAATTAGTGTGAGTGTAAAGACTATAGTGTTCTGCTCTTGTTTTACTCTACGCCTCATTATTGTGTGGTGTATCTATGTATTCACGTTGTCTGGTGAGGTAAATTTTATTTAGCATAATTTTTGGCTCAAAGCAGTGTCTTATCTTAGCTTGTTTACATTCCTAGCATATTCTCCCTAGAAATGATATATCTCTCTGCAGAACCAGAGAGGTGTTGTAAGATAATATACGATGAAAACTAGTGTTTGTTATCAGCTGCTAAAGCTCTGGATGCTGTGTTTGTTCACTTCCATTCACATATTGTTGAAGTCCCCAAGCTTGTGCAATGTAATCCATCCTTAACACCCTGAACTTCCATCTCCTGCTTATGAATTACCTTGTGTGGTTAAGAGGAACTATGTTCAAGGCAGTGAAAACATTTAATGAAGATGCCAGTTTTCTAGATGAATTTTCTAGGTAGAGTTTTTATGCATTTAAGGAGTTAAATTATTTTGAAATAATGTTATTTCTGTCAGATATTCCTGGAACCCTGTTTGCACGTCTCCTCCTGTCAGCAAGTACAAGTGGAACCACTCTCAGCAGATGATTGGGAAATACTGGTAATAAAACCTTTTCCAGTCTTCATGCCATTTTTGTGCAAATGACAGAGAATATAGATACAAGCTGTTGTCACAATCCCCTATTCTTTTCTGCTCCTAAGCAAATACTAAATGTTGTGGGTTTTTGTTGTATTTTGTATTTCAAATGATGTGTAAGAAAAATATGTAGAACTTCTATGTTCAAGCATGTTTTAAAGGTGTTCAAGCTTATAATGATACCACATTTTCCCAGGAACTGCACGCTCCCTGTCTTGAAAAGCATCTTCTGGACCAGATCCGAATCGTATTCCCAAAAGCCATCTTTCCTGTATGGGTTGAACACCACACTCACGTTTACATCAGAATTGGTAAGCAACAGTGAATGCTTTGGTGGTGCCTCGAGTAAGCTGTCTTGCAAGAGTGGATGCATTCATTCATCTGATTTGTTCATACTCAGGTACACTTGTGCCAGCAGCCCCCTATGGGAGATTAGAACCATGCACAGAGCTGCTGATATGCCCGAAAGCACGTGAGCTGGAGGAAAACATCACAGACATGCCTTCTACAGAAAGTGACATCTTACTCAAGAGTTTTGTGAAAAATAACATGCAGCAAGACGAAACTGTAAAGGAGCCTTTTGCCAGTCAACCTCACTTAAATCCAGGAGTCCCTGAACAGAGTAAGGCTGATGCAAGTGTGACATTTGGCTCAAATGTTCTCCCAAATATGTGGAATTTCATAGGGAGCATTTTCTCTCGTACAGCTGAACAGAAACAAAAGACTTTGTGTGATAAAGATGAAATGAGCACCTTCAAAGACAAGCTGCTGAACTTAATTCACGTGGATTCCATTTTTAGAGTATGTCAGTCCCAGCCTCCCAGCGTACAGAATGCATCAGCCCTTCATGCATTTCTGAAATACAATGCCGTTCATATTTTTCCATGGAATTTAGAATTTACTGATTTGGATCCAAATGCTGTAGTTTCTTACGGGAAAATAAACGAGCTGCTTTCCCCCAGACAGCGTCATCAAGAAGCAAAGCAAAATCTGCCATCTGAAAAGCAAAACCATTTGCCTGGTACGCAAGACAAAAATAATTCCAATAGCATTCAAGCGTCCAGTGGGGGATCTGTTGTTCAGATCGTTTGGAATGGATTTGAAGACCTAAAGAATGTCATAGAGTATGGCAACGGTGGGGAAGCCCTACATGTTGGAAGAGTTTGGGTCAGTTTGAGCACACTATCTTTTGGGGCTTTTTATTGGATAATATTTGCTATTGGATAACTGGAACTGATGTGCAGTTTGGGGGTAGGCTTTGCAGAAGGTTCTTGAGTAAAGTCAATCAAATAGTAATTGCTAGAGCTACACCTTGCCGAGCCTTCTCACTGATATTAGCATCATGCAGTGTACACTGAGCTTCTGCACCCCTAGCATTTTGGCACCAAATAGGAAAATCCTTCAGTGTTGCTGGAGGTGCATATTTTCTTCAGAATTTCTTGGCAGCCGTACACGAGAACATGAATGTATCTGTTTATGTGCATTCAGTAATGCTTAATGAAGTGTTTCTTCATCAGATATTGCTATAAAATATGCTCTGGACTCTAGGTGTCATCATGCTATAAAGTAATGGCATAATGTATCCTATTGTTACCTGATATTTACAGGTGCTTTTATATACTGTTGAAGTTTTCATTAAAATCTTGCAGTACTATCAAATAATTAGCTTTTATACCTTTTAAAGTCTCTTGGTCTGTTATATATTGTTTTCTGTAGGGTGACACAGTCCCAGTGTGCAGACACTAACACTGAGGGATTCTTCCAAATGAGATTTTCTTTAGACAGGGACTCTTAATATTTCGTCCTTAATCTACAAAGTTTGTTGCAAGTCTAAATATGTATTTTGCAACATACGCTACACACCACTGAAATGTTGCTCCTAGTTGTGTCTTCAGCTTATTCTGGCAGAGCTGTACAGCCTGCTCATGTTCTTTCTTTCCTGGAAACACACGCAGGATCAAGAGAAATAGATCAAATGCACTCCAAATCACTGTTTGACTATTTGGACATGTTACACTTCTCACCATTTGCTGACTCTTTTATCAAGAGTGAGAGCAAAAGCCTGCAGTAATGTTTACCACAAAATCGTTTGATGCGAGCAGTTTTCCAAATGTTAGCAACCATTCAGTCTTTCAGACTTCATAAACATTTCTGAGACACATTTCCAAACTGAAAACATTTAAAACAGTACAGAATATTTGAAAAGTAGTTTCCTTTTTACGGGGCAAACTGGCTGGTACAGCTCAGGAAAACTGGATTTCTGTCTGTACTGAAAATGTGTGCGGCTCTGATCTTTATAACAGCCTGTTTATGCATAACCTGCCCATGTAAAATATATTGCAATCACCAAATGTTGCATTCTTGCAACATCCTAAGAATTGAGAGGAATCCTTTTTCAATCTTCTTGGTTGTTGTTTTTTTATTATTATTATTTAAAGTTAATAGTCAACTGTAGCAAGTGTTTTCACAAGTAGGATAAAAGACACTCAGAAATGTGAGAACAGGATTTGAATGCTAGCTTTATGGTTTCTTAAATCTGTTGTAAATTGCACTGAATTTGATCAGTGATCAAATCTGAGGTTCTATTGGTGTTGAAGAAACTGTTATTGTACTCAATATGCAATGTTACAGTGGTTTTATTTTCTGATGTTTCTTTTTTCTTTGCTTTTATTTTAAATATTTCAGATTCCAGATGACCTGAGAAAAAAGCTACGAATTGAAATGCATTCAACAGTCCAAATTAAGTCACTTGAGTCTATTCCTAAAATTCCTCTATCTCTTAGACTGCAACCCAAACAGAACTTAGTGAGTTGATATTCTTGGTCATGTATTTGTTCATAGGTTGGGAAAAAATAATGTTGCTCTGGTCAAAATTGTCTGTGTTGTTTTTCTGTTGTATTGTTGTTTTGTTTTGTTTTTTTAATGTTGGATTTGTTTGTGTTACATGATAACTTGGAAGATGTCTGTCATGTATGAGTGCTTTCCCAAGGAATTTGGTTTTTATTTTTCCTTTGTATGTCATTGAAATCATGAAGATGCAGTGATCTAACAAAGCTTATCTAGTAATATTATTCTGTATTTTGTTTGCTGATACCTAAGTTGTTGAACTCTGTCTTGCATTTGGTAAGTACTTCAAATAGTTCTGCATCTTACCTGTAAAATTTTTCTATTTAAAGGGTATGATGGAGTCTTTCTTTGTTTTCAAAGTGTGAAAGTGTCTTGCTTATGAAAAAAGATATTGGCATTGAGGGACACCTGCTAATAAAGAAAAGATGCATGTTCTTTTTAATTAGGTTAGGAATTAATTAGGAAGCAGGATGTACAGCAGGATATAGTGCCTAGCCAGAGTTAGTGACAGGCAGTGGTGGTAACCTGGCACTGTTTCAAACCCAGAAGCTGAGTAGTGCTTTTGGATCTTGCAATACAGATAAATAAAAGAATAAAAACTTCTCTGTGCCTTACATCAGTGTTCCAAAGATAAAATTGTTAAGGGCAGTGGAAGAGCCAATTGTTGCTGTAGCAAAGGCAGAGTAGCAAAGCAGCAGGTGCTTTCTACAGAGCAGGTGACAGAAATGGCAGAATTGTTGGCATAGTGTTATTTTCCAAATAAATGAGACTGTTCATCTTCTTCCAGATCTCTGCTACTGTAAGAGAATCAAATGCTCTATGCATGGAAGGAGGACAGTCATAGTAACACCTTGTTTCATGTCCCTTTTTGTCTCTGTTTTCCTGTGTAGCATAAAGATACATGTGAAGATGATGTTAAATGTGCTTTCAGTGCTTGGCTAAAGGATTCTGCTACTGAGGATCTTCCGTGGATAATGACAAGCACAAACTGCATACATCTGCGTATTAAAGAAGGTAAGGACCATGTAGCAATCTTAACTGTCCATTAGGAATTTTATTTAGGCAATATACCTTTTGTGATCTCTCTGTGCACCATTTAATATAACATATCTCTTTACACTGGAACTGTAAACATAAACTACATTTTAATAATGATTAACTTCTTTAATTATTTCATTTTGGAGTATATATAGTATTTCTGAATATATTAATATTTCATCTTGTGAAGAATAAAAGTTGAAATAATTAGAAATCTTAGTGGTTGTACTTTCTGTTTTTACAGGAATGGAGGAGTTTGTCCTTACTGTAGTGGATCACGTGCACACTGAAGAAGATAAGTCTGAGAACACTTTTATACTGAGTCCCAGTTTGCTGCAAAAGACTAATATACAAGTAAATATCCCATAGTATCAGGTATCAAGTAATTTAAATTGTTATATTTGGTTACAAGTAAATTATGTGTAGCATTTTAAATAATTGTTGGTTTGTTCATTAAGTTATACCTGCGTTCTTTGTGTTATTGTACAGCCTGAGGCATTGGTAAGATTCCAGGAATGCCTGGAAATTTATTTGTCATTGACTTTCATAGTCTGCATCAAGCTGTCAGGAAAATCAGAGCAGAGGGAAGTCAGTATTGCCCAGGTTTGAACATCCCATCCTGATGCATAGTTACTTTTTCTCTTAGTCCCTGAACCACTGTAAAATCACTTTAGATGAACAGGAGCTGATTCTACAAAGATGAGGCGTAATGCCTATCTAAACTTTATTTCTGCTTTCCCTTTTATATAGCTTGTGCCCTCTTTCCTTTCTCAGAAAATTTAAACAATTGGGATTAGGGTTTCCATTAATAATGCAGGTTTAGCTGATGTCCTTGACTCCTGGATAATGGTTGTAATAGTAGGATAATTCTTTTTTTTTTTTTTTTTTTTTTTTTTAACTTTTAAACTGGCAGAGAATTAAGATGTCCTGTTTTGGCTGTTCAGAATAGATTTTTTTTTTCTGCAAAGTTTAGAGTCCCTGTTGAGCAAAAGTAGAAGAGCTTTATTTCTATCGGTATTTGAGAAGTAGAGAAGTCTTCTACAAATGGTAAGAATGACCAGTGTTAAGATGAAAGGACAGTGTGCATTTGTTAACAGAGTCACCTACCAAGCTGTTCCAGCCTGTGAACCTTGCAATTAGTCCTGTTTGCTAGTTTAGCTTTTCATACTTGCTCCCTGGTAAACTAGACTGTGAAAAAAGCCAGGTGTTTCAACCAGATCAGTTTCCCTGTCTGACTGATCATCTTGCCTCATGGGTATCGATGCCAGCACAACAAGGAGGATACAGCAAAATAAACATTAATGGTGGGGAAAGATATGAGATATGATGGGCTGCATAGCTTGACATAAAAGAGCACTTATCCTAGTCACAGTTTACATCATTGTAAACACTAGATTATATTTTGGAAATATTTTATCCATGTCATTTTACCAATACATCTTTCTTTCAGGCAGATTAAGCTTCAGCAAGGCATACTTGCAAATTTTATTTATAAAGATTCCAAAAAAGGGTAGTTACTTCTATACTCTTCTCTTGTAGCTGTATTTAATGTTAAGTACTAACATTTTCCTTTGTTGTAGGTTCTTTTACACCCTCTAACTGCAAAAGCTGATGATGACAGCCAGCTGCCTGTGCGTGAAACAGACAGAAACCTTCCTTACAAAGGACTAAACCATTTAGGGTGAGACATCTTCATAGTAGAAAGTGCATGAGGGAATGGGAATTAATGAAGAAGAATATTAGTGAAAGTGATCTTTTTTTTTTTATTATCATTATTTAATTGATGCAGATCTTACAGCATGATTCTGCATCATTTGGTATTTTGGCTTGTGTCAGGCTCAGCCCTTCCTATCATAATGTTGCTGTCATTTGTAGAAGGGCAAACAGTGGTGCTGTATAGTAAACTTGAAGTAGAGTTGGGGAAGAGGGGACTTGAGAGACTTGTGGTAGCATGCTATTTACTGTGCTATTGGCATTTTGAAAGGCAGCTGAGAAGAGGCAATTAGAGCTGACCAGGGGTTAGCATGGTAGAGTAGGAATGTAAAAAAACCAAGCTGTATTTATTCGTTTTGTTTTTCACAGTACAATACAAAATACAAAACAGAGCCTTGCTGTTGGTGAACCTGAAAGGAGCACTGTTGTGTCAAAAGACACAAAGATTTAAGACAGGTGAAGGATAAAGATGTCTGCAAATGAACTACGTGCTGCTTTATTTCTGATAGGCTGAGTTATCTGACCCAGATGTGCACCATGTTTTACCAATTTGTTGCATCCCTTAGGAGGTTGTTACTTAGACCTTCAACAAGATGAAACCCCAAAAACTGAAGTTAGTTCTGTTGTCTGAGGCCCACTTCCTGCTAGGGTGATGTACATTGAGTGATTAATTGTTCAACAGCAGGGGTGATCTGCATTGTCTGTGCCCCCTGTTACCTCTACGGAATAAAGATGCTGTCTTTTCAGATTGAGTTATGAAAATATGAATTACTTTGCATAATCAACATCGAACCCTCACTATACTACAATTATTACTGTTTATATCACGTGTGCTGATGCTACTCTAGGCATTTAATGTCTTCTGTGCTGTTCAGGGGAGTGGACAAATTAGGAGCATCTTCTTATGAACACATAAGCCACAGTCTTTTGGGTCGTCCTTTATCTCAAAAGCTGGCTGGTATCGCTGTGGGACTGCGAAGTGGAGGGGTGCTTCTCACAGGAGGAAAGGTACACGTTCTACTGCTCTGCACTTGCAAACTCTCCTCAGTGGTTTTCAATAGTTACAGAACTGTTTTCATTAGTTCTTTGTTACCATGCAAATTCGAGGAACTAAAGAACAAGCTGAAAAACAAGCAGTTGGCTGAACAGAGTTGACACAGTAAAGCATTATGTATGTCATATTATGACATTATATATTATGATATTATACATTCACATTTAGTGTGTATATGTGTGTATCATCTATATGCATATATAAATTTGAATATTTATAGCAATACAATTTCAGTGTATTTCCATAGGTCATTAATCTACTTTGTGTTTATATAATAGGTGCTTCTTGTCTCTGAAATATTTGAAAGTAAGAATACAGTATTTGCTCTTATTTTCTAACTAACATAAAACGTCAGTATAGCCAATGCTTTGATTTTCCTTTTGTCTCTTGTGGTGGCATTTAACACCACATTCCATCATAATAAAAACAACACTGGAAAAGTGGAATCACAGCACTGTCTATAGTGGATGTACCCACTCCAAATTTGACTTAGGCTTTTTTCAGCCCATGGCTTCAGTCTCTACCAAGTGATGCAGAGATGGAATAAGTGTATGCTTCTGAGGGGTAAAACCAAAGTGCTTACAGCCTTCCCAGCTTAGCTGATGTGTGTTTTGATAGAAATTCCACAGAAACAGAAGCAAATAGTTCTGTTTTAGCTCACTTTTATTTTTACAGGGAAGTGGAAAATCGACATTAGCAAAGGCCATCTGCAAAGAAGCATTTGATAGATTGGATGCTCATGTAGAAGTAATTGATTGCAAAGCTTTAAGAGGTAGGATAATGCCTGTTACTTTCTCAAACAATTTCAGTATGACAAAGAACTGTAATTATGAAGTTACCACATGTAATCTAATTTTTCTGTTTTTTTGTTAAATTTCCTTTTGCAAGGAAGCTTTTTTTCATGTCTGCCAGCTTCTGTCCCTCATACCACCACTGCATTCAAACCACTCTTGCCACATTTATTTTAAGATGTTACAAATGAGGAGAAAGTGGCAGGATCAACTGTGTGTTTCTTCAGCTGTGGTGGCTGGAACAAACATAAATAATTAAGTGTTAGAATGCCTGTGTTAGTGAAAGTAGGTTTAGGATAGAACATGTTGTTTCTGCTTTAAAATAGGTATCTGGATTTATAGGAGCATATGTAAGGTAGCTGAATCCAAGTATTGGAATATTACTTGAGCAAGATATACAAGTCTGATCTTTTTTTTCCTGTTATGTTTTGTCATTAAAATGCATTTATCCTATAGGAAAAAGATTAGGAAGCATAAGGAAAAATGTGGAGGAAGCTTTTTTAGAGGCGTCATGGAGACAACCATCGGTTATTTTAATGGACGATCTTGATCACATTGTTGGAGTACCTCCTACACCAGAGCATGAGAACAGCCCTGAGTCAGTTCAGAGCAGTAGACTTGCTTATGGTAATGCTCTACTACCTGTATCTGGATAAAAGTGTAATGCAGCCCAGCATTTCTGGCACCTCAGTTGTACTGTCCTAGCTGGACATTCTGTCTCAATCGTTATTGCCTCTGAACAGTGTGGTATGTTTTTAGAGTGGAGTTCACAACACAGAAAAATAATGTTTAATATCCTGTGGTAGACATCATCAGTTACTTTGCAAAAATTTAACTTTTAAACAGCACTTTTGATGACATTTAGTAATGGAATGTACTGTCCTAGAAAAAACAATTGTATTGTTTGGTTGGGATGTTTGGGGGATTTTCATTGTTTTAATTTGGCTTGGTTTTGTTATTTTGTTGTTAAAAAAGAGCATTTAAACATAGCAATAAAGAAATTATTTTTAAATATATTTTTAATGCTTTCTATTTGCACTGTATATAATGGATATAATCAAATACAGAATCTTTTTGTTATTTTGCAATTCCTTCAGCAATGCCTTTTCTGTTTAGTTTTGAAAGATCTGATAAAAGAAGTTATTTCCTTGGGGAGTTTGATTGCATTAATTGCTACAAGTCAGTCTGAACATGCTCTACATCCTTCCCTGGTTTCAGCTCAAGGAACTCATATATTTCAGTGTTACAAACGTATCCAGTCGCCAGATCAGGTAAATTTGGGCATTTATTAATTTGATTACAGTGTTGTTTGCCTTCTCTTCAGCCACAGAGATTGTAGGTTAGTCTGGGGGATGAGGAGAAACCTGGATATCATAGAAAGTATTTAATAATACTTAGATACCCCAGCACCCCTGTGTGACATTATAAGGCTGGAAAGTAAGCCAGTGAAAATTCCCAATTTGTTTCATTATCCTCAGTGGAGAGAGAAAAGGTGTATTCAGAGGATGGTTCAGTTCAACCTAAAACAAGTTAGGCTGTCCAAGGTAGGTGAATGTTCCCTTGGTACCCATAAGGGAATTCTAGAGAAGCAACTTTGAGAGAACATGTCAGGTCACTACAGTTAGATAAATGAGACTTAGCTTAAGTGTGTTATTGTTGGTTTTTTTTTTTTTCTGCCTCTCAGAGGAATAAGTATGTGCTAACATATTATTAATGGTAATTACATGTTAAAATGTTATTAAAACTAAATTTTATGAACAGGTTTGGGCTTATTTTTCTATATTAATTGTATTTTATTTGAATTTGAATTTTATTTGAAGTCCCTTTTGGAACAGTAAAAAGGAAAGAGGGAAGAATGAACAGTATGACTTAAGTGCAGGAGGCAGTGGATGTGACGTGGTTATGGCAACTGATGGGTGTTTAACACAAGTAGTTCCTACTTGCTTGGGTGCTGGTGTTTTGTTGTGGTTTTTTTAATACTTATAAATGAATGAGGAGGACTTTTCCACCAGTGGAAAAGTCAGGTTTTCAAAAGATATCAAATTATTTGTTGTATTTTTATCCAACACTATCTATTTCACATCCAATAAGTTCAGCACAAAGGAAAATATGTTCATTTTTTCTTATGGAACTGAAGCATTGGTGTGAAACAGCAGAAAGTTGAGGGTGGGAGTTTGTTTTGTTATTGTTAGATTTAAGATAACTGGCAGTGCAAACCTTTGAATTTGTAAAACTGGTGAATTTCTTGAAGTTCAGCTGAAGAGCTGACTTTAGTCCGTTTTTGTGCCTACTCAGATTTTGTCATTTGAAGATTCCACGATAGTGATGTGTGAGATAAGTAATACATATTTGCTTTCTGAATTTCTGAAAGCCACGTCAACTGACAACTGAACACACGCTTCCTGCCCCATTCTATTTTCCAGAAGCAAAGGTGTGAAGTGCTCTGTTCTGTAATAAAAAACAAACTGAACTGCGATGTAGAGAAGTTCTCCAATCTTGATCTCCAGTATGTTGCAAAAGAAACAGAAGGTTTTGTTGCTCGAGATTTTACTATGCTGGTTGATCGTGCCATTCATGCCTGTATTTCTAACCAGGATGCATTTCAACACGGCGGTACGTTCACTGTCAAAACCTCTATTTCATATTCTTACTTTTGTTATCCAGAACTTCTTAGAATACACAAATGAAAAGCCAAATTTTGTTTCACATTTAAAATGTCTTTAATTGTTGCATACTGTGAGGAATTTGTTACTCTTGGGTTATATAGTTTTTTTTTGTTTTTTCTCTAAAGCAGAATTGAATCTGTCGACCGTGGATTTTCAGAAAGCTTTAAAAGATTTTACTCCATTAGCTCTGAGAAATGTCAGCCTTCATAAACCTAAGGACGTTGGCTGGGATAGGATAGGTGGCTTAAAAGATGTGAAGCAAATACTCATGGATACCATCATGTTACCTGCAAAGGTATGCAGTAGTTTTAAGTCAGTTACGTGAACTTTGTACATTTTGTTAGTAGAACAGTTATGATCTTTAAGAAGCAGCACATATTTGACAGAAGGAAGACAAATATGTTTTTTTAAGCTGCTTTTCTGTCTTCCCAGTCTTCAAGTATTTTCAGCTACCAGAGAACTCTTTCACCGCACCCTTCAAAAATCAAACACTAGTGATCATTCAGTACACTGTAGAATAATTGCATGTTTCGTAACATGAATTGTTTGGTGTTGTTTTCCAGTATCCAGAATTATTTGCGAACCTGCCTATACGACAGAGATCAGGAGTCTTGCTCTATGGAGCACCTGGAACAGGAAAAACACTGTTAGCAGGAGTAGTTGCTCGAGAGAGCAGAATGAATTTCATCAGTGTCAAAGTAAGAAGAAAATTGATTGATTCATGTGATTAACTGAATTAAATAGCTCGGTATAATAGCTGTGAGTAGGTGCTTGTAAAAGCAAAATACCAAAGTTAAAAACTCATCAAAAATAGTTTCTGTGGATAACCAAGCATCTGACTTTCTGGAGCTTCACAGTTTTATGACTGAGTTTGTTTCTTTTTTTAATAATTTTTCATTAAGCAGAATAATAAATTTCAATTGGATTGTCTTGGTTACCCATCTTATTAATAAAAACAAATCCTGAATTTTGGTTCTGTGGGACCAGAAGTTGGGCAATACATTTTAAATATATTTTCAAAATGCAGTGTAAATTGTTACCTGTGATACAGTAATACATATTGTGCTACATTGGAATATAGTTGGAATGCTGGCATTCTCTTGGTTACAACTTACCTTGCTCCAGTATGTAAAATCAATGTTGGTATTAAATGACAAATTAAAGCCAATAATGTGTAACACACATGTTCTTTTCCCTCTTTTAGGGACCAGAGCTGCTCAGCAAATATATTGGAGCAAGTGAACAAGCAGTTAGAGATATCTTTAACAGGTTGGCCTTGTAAAGATTTCTGATGTTATGATTCTATTGGTTGAAGCTCTGTGAATTGATTTTGTTCTCAGAGAGATACGGTTATCAAATCATTTGTGCCAAAAAAGGAGTCAATAAGTTGCCAAGATTTGAACATTGTCTTTTGGGAACTTTTCTAAGAACAGTTAAGATCAGGGTGCACTTCTGAATTTTCGTATTTCTCTCCACTTCAGAGTGCTTAGCAATGAACACAGTACATAGAGTCAAACTAGACTTGGTATTGAGATCCTTGGTGCCAGTCGTTTTGTTTTTACAAACATGCCCTAATTTGAGCCTCAATGCTTACTAATGTAAATGTACTCTTCGTAGCCTTTGCTTCTCAAGTAGGTTGCAGTGTAGACAGTCTTTATACTGTATTTATATAATCCAAGACCACATCTGAATTTTGAAGCTTTCATGTGTATTAACGCAATTGAATACTTTAGAAAGGGAAAACTGAGGAGAAGATACATCATAAAAATGAGCAGTGATTCCATAGAAAAAAAATTATTTAGAACCTCTAACTTTTACAGGAGATGAGTTTTTTATCCTCTACTTACATTTAACTTAATGTTGTTTGTTTTTAAGAGCTCAGGCAGCCAAACCTTGCATTGTTTTCTTCGATGAGTTTGATTCCATTGCTCCTCGCCGAGGTCATGACAACACTGGAGTTACAGACCGAGTGGTTAATCAGCTGTTGACTCAGTTGGATGGTGTGGAAGGTTTACAAGGTAAAAATTCATCTGTATGCTCTTTCCCTCCTTGCACAGATATTTAGCAGGTGTTAATGGTACTTTCTTGATGTTTTCCAAAGGTGTTTATGTGCTAGCTGCTACTAGTCGCCCAGATTTGATTGATCCTGCTTTGTTAAGACCTGGTCGACTGGATAAGTGCCTGTACTGTCCTCCTCCAGATCTGGTGAGAAAATAAAATGTTTTACGTGACAAAACGGGAAAACTGGGAAACTACTGGGCTTTAGTTAATCTCCATTTCTTTATATTTCAAATCTGGCCAAACTGGGGTCTATTGCACAGCTGCAGTTGTACGTAAAAATTCACTCGTGCCAATACATTGGTATAAAACTGAGGCAAAACAAGAATGCTTATCACAGTCTTAAGAATCAAATCATATTCCAGCAATTGTAACCGATCAAAAAAAAAAAAAAAAAAAAAAAAAAAAAAAAGTAATAAAAAATATTCTGTAGCAGTAAACTATTCCGCAGAGATTAGTTGCAGCATCATGTTTATAATCTTTTGCATCTTCCAATGAATTAAAAATCCGATGGATCTGCTGTTTGCTTGAGGTGGTGAACCCATAGGCATTCACAACCCTTGATTATCTGAAATTTTCAGAGTAGTTTTGTTCTGAATTCTTGTTGATTCCACCCTTTGCCCACATTTAATTTTGAGTGTACAAGTTCTTTTAAGTCAGGTGTGTCACTGTCTAGCAAGGGAATTTTTTTTAGTTCATTTTGGATCAGGCCTTTAAGGCTGTACAAGGCATGTCTTTGGTTCCCCATTTTATATTACAGTTATGCTGTTCATTTTCAGATTAATTGGAAAGCTTAACAAATGCCACATTATGTTATTTTTAAATGTACGCAGTGATGTTCCTGCATGCCAAAAATGTAAATATGTTCTGACTTCTTCCTTTTTAAATTTTGGTTTAGAATATGATCCTTCAAGTAAATGGAAATGCTTACCACTTCCATCGTATTTCTCTGTGCAAAAGGAAATATGACTAGCAGTGTTCAGCTTCATATTTTGTTTATATAACACATATAAAAAATCTCAGATGTTAGATGAGTATTTAGAGGAATATATTTCTGTGTTCTATACTGTTTGGTACATCTTCTCTTAACCTCATTAGGAAAAGGTAACAGAAATCATGCCCGTTTTAAAGTTTGATTATTATTCAGTGTATCCAAGATGTACTATTATTAGGGGAGTATCTTTAAAGAAGAATTTGCTTGTGACAGAGACAAAGCACTCTCTAGGAGAGGAAAAGGAAAATAACAGGTTGCTTTACTGACAGTTGTTTGGTTGTGGGTTTTTTTTCTTTCTTTGCAGAGTTCACGCTGCGAAATCTTAAAAGCTCTCAGTCATTCTCTGTCCTTGGCAGATGATGTGGACCTTGAGTATTTGGCTGCAAAAACAGAGCACTTCACAGGGGCTGACCTAAAAGCTTTATTATACAATGCTCAGTTGGAGGCAATACATAATTTAAGCTCAGGTTTAACACAGGTAAATAATACAGATATAAAAGAGGGTCTCTTTATATTTCTATGCTGGTATGTTCAAAGGGGTTAATTCTATCCATTGTGTTTTCAGCAAAGCTGTTTAATAAGAATTAAAATCTTAATGTGTATGGTATCACATGAGAATAATGTAACAAATCAGTTTAAATTTAAACTTCTTAAAGACAAGATTTTTTTCTTTAATTTTTGTGAGAAGCGTTTAATATAAAAAAATATTTATTTTAGCCAAATCTCTTTATTGTTGCTGTGAGAAATGACTGATAGACCAACAGGAGGGATCACTCAAAGCCTTCAAAGAGTATCTAGCAAATTCCGTTGTGAAGTGACACAATTGCAGTGACGGAGGAAGCAAGGAACTGGTGGGTTTTATGGGGAGCTCTGACAGATTTAATGTGATCTGAGGTTAGGGGAGGTGTGGAAAGAGGATGTTGATAGCTGGACTCTGGAAGACCCCTTCAGATAATACCCATATTTAATATAAGGTACAGGATCCCACTGTAAGTTTTTATCCCTTGTAAATGACAGGTTCCTTTCCTTTTCTAACTTCTATTCAACTGCCTGCCATCATATTTTTAATGCTTGTCTTGCTCTAGCTGAAAAGGGGCAGGCAAGGCTTCCACTACTTGGAGATCAAAGGAAATATGGGTTTAGTGGCATGAAAGAGCTCATATTCCAAGAGAAGAATTGCTAGAAACAAATGCAAATCAATACTTTTGTTTGGACTACACATGAAATATTTTAATGCATTACAGAGTGCAATTAGCTGTGAGTTAACACCTGTAAACGTTCTGCTCTGTTCTTTGTCACAGGATTTTGGTTCTAGTTCTGATAGTGACTTCAGTCTGTCTTCCATGGTTTTTCTAAACCACAGCAGTGGTTCAGATGACTCAGCAATAGATGGAGAAGCAGCACCTGAGCAATCTCTTATTTCTTTGGACATGTCTGAGTTGCTTCCTGAGGATCCAAGGTCCAACATGTATCGTCTTTATTTTGGAAGCTCTTATGAATCAGAACTAGGAAATGGAAGTCCTTCAGACCTGGTAAATCACACTCTCAATATTTTGAATTCTGTAAAAATTATCGACTGCGAAGCGGGAAAAAAACCACAAGGTTTAATAACTACAGTTATGTCTGCTTTGTCCTTCAAGCTGTCTTCATCCTATGCACTGTGGGTCCAGTGTGGGAACCAGGGTGGGATATTCCATCTGACAGAACAGGATATGGATTTCTCTACAACTTTGAAGAACTTTTAAATCAAAATCCCAAAATACTGCTTAGTGCTTTAGTATCAGGCCAACTGTATTCACACCAGGTCTTACTATCTGGTCTAATGCCTTGTTGCCTTTCAAAGTTTATTGCTCTTGGCTAGCCAGCACCTGTGTCACAGTGCTGACCAGTCTCACTTGGCTGCTGGGTAAATATAGCAGAACATGCTGGCTGTGAGCTCCTTACAGTGGAGAGATGACTTCAGAGTTTGCACGTGATCCGTTTGTTCTGAGGATCTGTTGCAGAATTGTATTTACAGGTAGTTATCAAAGGTGTTAGAATCTTGTTTTCAAAACTGTCTTGCATTGATTCCTAAAGCCAAAAATAGCTTCTCTTCACACTGGAGAATTTCTAACTGCTAAGTCTCATAAAGTGCTCTTGTGTTTTATCTTGTATTATACATGACAGTGTTCCAGTAATGTATCTTGAGAGATTTAGGTTTTCCTTTAACTCTGGAATTTCTTCACTGAGGCTACAAGGACTTTAACCTTGCAAAACTTTGAAACTTTGAAGTTGCTTGTTTTATCCAGTGCGCAGAGAATTTGGAGGTGATAGAAAATGGAATGTCACTCCGAAGCTAACTGCATGAACCTCAGATTTCAGAACCACTGATTTTTGTACATAAAAAGAGCTATGTATTTACTAGACATTTGTATTTTTTTTTACATAGGCTGTTTGCAAAAACATTTTGATTTTTTTCTGAAGGGAAAACACTTCGTTTCCAAACTTGTGCTTTGTTCTATGTCTATACAAAAGGTTGCGTGATGTATTTTTGAAAGTACTCTTTTTTCTGGTGGGAGCAAGGTGATACTGAATGAAGTTGGTAGGAAAGTTAGCTAAATCTTAATGTTTGAGTTGCTCTTTTGAATCCATAATAAGTTAATGTATTTCTCTTTGATCAATTTAGAGCTCTTTGTGTTTGTCTGGACCAAACTCTGTAACTCACGATTTTACCAACATCTCTCAGAGAGACACAGCATCGTCACAACCTTCAATGCTTACAACAGTCTCCCAAGAAGACTCACTGGAAAATAACCAGGAGCAGCAAATAGAGCACCTGAGGACAGAAATCAATGCTATCAAAGCCAATTACAAAAGCAAGAATGGAGTATGACAGTTTTTTGTAATATTTAGTCTTAGCACTTCCTTTCATTGTATTCTGATAAATAATTCATTCAATAATATTAAAAATAACAAAGATAAGTGATACCTAGTTTGAGGAAGATAAGCCAGGCATGTGTTACTAATGCAGGGGGAAGCAGTGATTGTAATTACAGGGGGTCCTTTTTCTGTGATAATTTCTGATTGTTTGTTCGTGGCTCTGTTTTCCAGGAGGATGGCACCCTTAATCAGTCTGTGCTTGCCAAGAACACTTTGATTATTACCCAGTCCCATTTGATGACTGCTCTTGAGGGTATAAGACCATCCATTAGCCAAGATGACTGGAAGAATTTTACTGAACTGTAAGCATTATATTTTTTATTATTAATTGTGAGCTCAAGTGGAGATTTGGTCTTTCCATATTTCTTGTTCATCAGAACCACAACAGTTATTTAATGATACTCTGTGTGGTGAATGGCATGGAAATTGAGTGACAGCAGTTTTTTTTCACCAATACCAAGGTACACAATAGAAAGAAGAAATTATCTTACCGGTGTGGGTGTCTTTTATTGTTTTTATTAACATTGGACCTAGAAATTCTAATCCCAGACCCAAAACCCCTTTTATTATGTTAAAAGTTATACCAGTACAAAGAGAATTCTGATTCTCTGAAACATAAAGCTAGGTCCTACCTGTTCCCATTGAGTAGCAGTTCACCATGTTTTCAAATTGCTCTGTTATGACTTTCTAGTGACTAGTGCCTCTGTTAACTACTGTATTTGGGAAGAGGTATGATGCTTTGAGTCCTCATTATATATGTTCCCAAAGAAAAACAATTTGCAAAAGAGAAGACATACTGAAAATGAGAACATGTCCATTAAACTTGAAAATGACTGGAGTGAAAAAGCTGAAAAGTGGCATCAAAACAGTCCATGATGTTTTTTGGACTTGGGAATTAAGGTGTGATCTGCCTGAGGTGTTACATGGATAAGCAGATCTTAACAGCAGGGATCAGAGAGAAGGAAAGGAGAAAGAGAGATAATTTCTAGGAGTCAGTACCCCCCGTCCACTTTTCTTCATTCCCCTCTAAATAGTAATAATTAAAGTATATATATATGTTATTTTAGAATAATAGTAATTAAAAAAAAAAAAAGAGAGAGCTTTGTGCTCTGCTTTGCCTGAGTCAGAGTAGTGGATGAAAACTCTCGAGGCCTGCAGGTATGAGAAAACAGGTGCTCTTCATTTCAGCCAAAATATAATTGAACATTGATAGTTCTATGCTGTATTACTGTGTATTTTGGGGGCATATGCAGACAAAGGGATTTCAGACTAATATGCTGCTGTCTTTTACTGTTTCCAGGTACGATAATTTTCAGAATCCCAAGAGGAAAGGACAAGTTGGGTCAGCATTCAGACCAGGACAGAAAATGACTCTAGCATAGTAACTTCTAATGTGCTTGTAATTACTGAACTGTAAATGAAAATGACAAATGGGAGCTTAATATTTAAGTGATTACATCAGATTATTTATATTCATATGGGTTTATTAATGCAGCAGTTGAAGAAAATGTCTTTCTAGTTTACATGCTGTAAAATTATTTCACATTTTATTTTGAAGAAAATTGTCTTCCTGGAAATTAATATTAAATTTTTGAGAGAACTTCTGTTATGTTATGTCCTGTTGTTTGTCACAAAAAAATTAAATTTTGATTTTATCAATATACAGTTGCCACAACCTAATAATGATCTCCCTGTCTGAGTAAACTGTACTGTCTAAGGCAAGAAATGATGCACTGACATTCTGAACAGCTTTTCTCTAATGGCTTTCGGAGGGCTCAGAGAAGAGTGGTACTTCATATGTTTATTGATGGGCCAACAATACTGGTAAGTATTGGAAGTACTTACTGGAAGTAAGTAATACTTCTAGAATGACTGTAGCCAAAAAAGAAAAATATTAAGACAAAACTACATAATTTTAACTTGTCGTTTGCCACCATTAATTATTCAGAGTAACATCAAGTTGCATTTCATAACAATCAGATCTTTCTAACCCTATCTTCTTCTTGGAGACTTGAAAAATCTCTCGTTTGGAAGTTTCCCTACTTTACATGGGGTTACAGTCACATCTGCTTACTTACAGTGAGATTGTTAAAGAGTTGTCTTCCCCAGCCAATAGCTAGATAAAGTCTTACAGCAGGGGAAAGGAAAAGGCCTGGAAAGAAAAAGTACTGGAGCTGTTTGCTGTGAGTCCTTACCACCCTTTCACAACATTCTGCCAATACTGTGGGCTTTTGCTCATTTTTGCTGATCATCCTTCCCTACTGCTTACCTCTGTGAGGTAATTAGAAAGCATTGATTTTTCTGGCTGTAATTACTGTCATGTGCCTTCTCATACCTGTATCGCTTTGGGGCACTGGGCAGCATCTCCCCTTCTGTGATCAGGTGATACACCCGGCTGTTATTGACGTTGCCAGCTGATGCTGACCTTTCCCCAGCAGCCAGCCAGCATTTCCTTGTAGTCGAGGGACTTCTGAAGAGACAAGTGATAAATATAGATACGAGCACTTATCTTGTTTCTAACGTGCAACTGACACTTTCACTTTGCAAACAGGAATTCCATTCCTGCTACTGTCCCAAAATGTTTCTTACGAAGTGCTTAGGCAGCTTTGACTCCAAAAGTGATTCGTATTTGGAAATTTCAACTTACAAGTGTGTAGCTGCTAAATTCTTCAACTACTGCCTTGGAAAGAATGTACCTGTTTTGAAGTGATCCAGAGTTCCAGATTGAGTCTGCTGGTGACATCTGACAAAAAGCCTGGGGCAGATAGATTCAGCGTGTGCTGACAGGTGGTGGTTGTGACAGCAGAACAGCGAAAGCAACTCACTGGAAAAAAGTGATGTGAGTTGGTTCTGCTAAAGGCTGTCTTAGTCAGTGCAATTAGCTCTACAGAAAGGCTCAGGTGTCTGAATACAGAGAGAATTTTGTAATTCCTCATGATCAAAATTGACAGGCTTGCTTTGCCACAAGTCAGGGCGTTAAATACCATCCAGTGTGTCAGGGTTGTTTATTGTTATGCTCTTCTGCCATAAATCGTAATTGTTTTTTGTTGGGAAATAGGATTTCTGCTGTACAACTAAAAAAAATCCACAAGGTATTTACTGTGTAACTTTCAAGCTTTAAGGGAACAAAACTTTTTTTTTCTCTATTTTCAAGTTGAAAAAAAAGTGAGGATTTTCTAGACCATCTGAAATGGAAGTCTGAGCTGAGGCTTAGATTATGTTAATGTTAATGTTTCATAATAGACATCACCAGCTAGAATTCTCAGCAGTTTAAGTGTGGCAGTTAACAGCCTGCATAATGAATCATACAATGGCCTGGGTTGAAAAGGACCATAATGATCATCTAATTTCAACCCCCTGCTATGTGCAGCATCGCCAGCCTCCAGACCAGGCTGCCCAGAGCCACATCCAGCCTGGCCTTGAATGCCTCCAGGGATGGGGCATCCACAACCTCCTTGGGCAACCTGTTCCAGTGCCTCACCACCCTCTGAGTGAAAAACTTCCTCCTAATATCTAACCCAAACCTCCCCTGTCTCAGTTAAAACCATTCCCCCTTGTCCTGTCACTATCCATCCTCATGAACAGCCGTTCTCCCTCCTGTTTATACACTCCCTTCAAGTACTGGAAGGCCACAATGAGCTCTCCCTGGAGTCTTCTCCACACTAAACAAGCCCAGTTCCCTCAGCCTTTCCTCATAGGAGAGGTGCAAATCATGCAAATGATGGACGTATGTTTTAGGTTTAAAACAGATTCTGAATTTCAGTTTGGCCAAAGAAGCTTTTGTGTGTAATAATCTACACTTGATGTTGTACGGGGAGTTTCTTCCTCCTCTTGGCATCATGGAAGCAAAGTATGTTCTTCCAGCCCAAATGCAAATGTTTTAAAATATAATTGCAAACCAAAACTTTTGCATCCCAGGAATTTATTTTTTTCCTAGGTTGTCTTTCTCAGCAGCTGTGTGATTATGTGTGTGTTCATATCATATGAAACCGTACGTAGTTCATCTCTTTCACAGTAAATCTAAGCTATCATTTTACTTGGGGGAAAAAGAAATCAATGCTGTATGATTACATGTGGATCTGACTGTCATTTAATATCTTCCATGATCCTGTGGTGTTTGAACAGCAGGGTGGCAGCCTTTCCAGGTAGGCAAGATAGTGATCATAGGATCGTAAATAATGCAGGAACTTGACGGAGACCAGAATAAGAAGGAAATGTCCTCCATGGATTACGCTGGTATTTGGAGCATTAGCTCTGCATGCTGGAGTCAGGAGTCCTGATGCTTTGTACCATTCGGCACGTAGGAATTCACTCTGTGACACATCACTGGGAGCAGTGTGGCAGTAGCTGCACTCAGGCACCTCAGCTGGCAGCTGTTCAGCCGCACACCTCAGAGCAGCTCACTGTGGGGTTTGTAAAGGCTGCTGTGTTTTTACACTGCTCTTAATGTGGGGCATCTGTTAGCATGGCTTTGGCTTGAGAGGTGAGTGTCGGTTATGTGACACAATTTGCATTGGGCACAGAGGAGTGACAATGTGCTGGAGGCATCCTGAATTGAAAATGCACGGAATAACAGCAATGTTCTCTAGAACCAGAGGTATGGGATAAAATACCTTCTGATCCATGGATTGTAGCTGGTAAAGAAGTGCTACATCATTTCACTGGCATTCAGGTCACCACTGTGAGCTAGCCCAACAGAAGCAGGTGTGAACAATTCCTCCTCCGTATCCTCCAGCAGCTGGTGGGGCTCTTGTGGGACTCCCAGTCAGTGCCTTTCAGTACCATCATATAGCAGTGGTGGTACAGCTGCAGCTGATAGATGGATTTTGTATCTCTTACAAGTGGTGTCCCACACCACTATCCAAAACTCCTTGGTGTTAATAGCTAGAATTAACTGAAATGATTCTGTGACAAAGGAATCGCAGGGAAAATGTCATTCTGGAGTTCCTCTGTGCAGTAAAGTGTAAAAACAGTTCCTAAGGGTCTTCAGTAGTGACCTGGGCGAGGATGCAGCACAGCAGGTGTGTGTTTGTGGGAGGGCTGGCTAAGATGTGCTTGCTGATGCAGGGGTTTGGTACAAGAAAAATTTTCAGGCCATGAAGCTGCTGGGTGAGCTCCTTTGCTTTCAGAGAGCAGCAGCTCTCTAGAATGAAGAGCAAACTATTTGAAACCATCCATAAAATGCTGTCAGTATCTCATTATGCAATTCCAGCATAAGCACAGCAGGATCAGAACCACCCTTAGAGCCAGGGTTGGGGTTCAGGCCAGGGTTGGGGCTTGGTGGCATTTCCTGTAGGAAAGTATTAGGAAGGTACCTCTCTCTCACAAGTGTGTAGCTGTTGACAAACCAGTTAAAATCCAGCGCTGATCTCCATGTCCCCCATGATTGCCAAGTTTCAGGAAATTCAGCACGTTATTCCTTGGTACGTACACATTATCCTGACGGCACATGAGCATTACACTAAAGAGCCTTTAACCAAAATCCTGACTAGAACATCGTGACCTTGGCTCGAGAGCAGAAAGCAGCACCGGGGCGGGGCCATTGGCCGCGGAGCTCCGAGCCCGAGGATGAGCGGCGGCGGCGGCTTCCCGGCGCTGTCTGCCCGCGGCGCCCGCATTGCCGCCGGCGTGCCGGGGCTGCTGGACGGGGGCTTCGCCCTCTACGTCTCCGATCCCTTCGACCGGGAGCGCAACCCCGAGGTGCGGGCGGCGGCCCGGGGGCTGCGGGGAAACGGCGCTCTGCCGGTGTGGTTCAGTGTCGTCTCTTCCAGGGCATCGTGAACCTGGGGACCAGCGAGAACAAGCTGTGCTTTGATTTGATAGAGGAGAGAGTAAGTGTGGCGGCCTGCCGGCTCCTTTGCTGTTTTCTAACAATTTCAAAGCGTCCGGGTAACAATTTAGCGTGGAGAAAATCGCCCGTAGGACTGCTTTCACAAGGATGCACATCACACGTACTGTGTGAATGTTGTGTCTGCTAAGTAACATAATGAAAATTCGCCTCAGGTTGCAAACCACAATTTGGTTTTGCTTCAGCTTTGTACTGTACAAAGAACTGAAGGTGCTCTATTTTCGCAGACACAGCTGTGCTCCTGCAAGGGCCGTGTGGTCGGTGCCCAAACGAGGGGCCCCTGTGTTTGCTGGCAGAGCCACAGCTCAGACCATAGAGTGCTCAGTGTTCAGAATGCAGGCTTGGAGCAGAATTAATGCTACAACTGAGAACTTAAACTGCTGTTCTCAGGGCTGGGCTCTTAGAGCAGCCTTTAAAGGAGTTTTTTTTTTCCCACTCTATTAATTCTAGTTTACCTGCTTGAAAACAAGATGTTCTGGCTCAGGTGCTGGCAAACTGGGACCTTGTGGCCAGACCTTCTGTTGGGAGCACGTTAACTCCTGTGTTCCTTGCGTGCAGAGATGATTTGCACCAGTGCAACTGCTGGCAACTTTGTGGTGCTGGTGAGGGAGGACCATGCACAAAGCCAGTGTCAAGCTCAGCTGAGGGGTCAGCAGAGCTGGCAACAGTTGGAGATTGTTATAGGAATGAACCCAAACTGGGGCCACAGTGAATATCAGTTTACACAGGGACACCTGTGCTGAGGGCAGGAAAGCCACTGCTGATAGCACAGCTGCTTTCCTTCTGTAGCACATAGTGTGTTATTTCTGCTGGTTGAGAAGCTCATCAAGGTTGGTATTAACATCTGATGTCAACAATTTGGAAAGAATTGTTTGGGCTTTGATACATCTCAGCAGCAGTTGTGTGAGCAGCTGGCCTGCTTCTCCTCTATGTGGGATTAAGTATATGATGGAGAAGAGCAATAAGTAATTCCTTCATTCTTTTCTTCCTTTGTTTTGATGTCTTAATGCTGCTTCTAGTATCTTAGAGAAGTGCAAATCATAAAACTTTATCTAATAATTTTTTTTAATATATTCTCCATTTCCTTATTGTTATTGAACAACTAAAACCAAAAAAGTATGGTACAGCAGAGCGGAAGATCCCAATTACTCCATGCTCTACATTGTCTCTCTCTCATGTCTCCAGCTCACACGGCCTGACATGGACTGCCTGCAGCCCGATCTCTTCCAGTACCCTGACACGCAGGGTGCGAGGAGGTATGAAGTTCATCTTCCCCTCTCTGCCCCCGCTTGAGCTCCATGCTCATGAGTTGCAGTGTGTGGCTTCATTCTCCTGCTGAGCCTGAAGGGTGGGTGTGCTAATGGCAGCTGCTCGTGGATGTGCTTTTGCTTGCCTGGCTTTTTGTTCTGTTGTTTTCTCCATCCTTACAGTGCTAAAAACTGGCAAAGGATATGGTGTCTGGCTGGGTGCAAGACGTGTGCACAGGCAGCTCTTCAGAGCTGAGGGTGGATGACTCCTGGGAGGGCTCATCCCAGACTTAGAGAGGGGTGAATGGGAGCTCTGTGGGCTGCCAGGCCTGAGTACTGCTCCTGGAGAACAGTGGAGCAGCCTTCACCACACATGGGAGCTCCCTTGGAGCCGTCATTCACCAGGTCCCACTGCTTCTGGTGCCCACATTCTGGTGCTCCACTTTGGCTCCAATGAGTTTCTTTATTTTCTTGCTTTTCCACTGTGCAGAAATAACAGCTGAGTCACAGCCACTGCTGCTCAAGGCTGCAGATGTCTTCTGTGTGCTTTGTATCTCACAAAATGTAGCTCTCTGTGTATCTTAGGAAATTATATTGTTTAAGCTGTAGGAAGTAAAAAATCTTCAAGGCTTTCATAACAGAATGGTGTGTTTGTTCTTTTTGGTGGTTTTTTTTTTTTTTTATTTTGTAAACTTCATTTTTCTATGCATCTTTTGTGCTTTTTCTTCTGAGAAATATGCAGTTACATCACTGACTCTAATTCTTCTGTATTTTAGCTTCAGAGAAGAAATTGCCAAATTTCTGACTCACTATGCCAGAGCCACAAAAGAACTTAGACCAGAACATGTAAGCAAATTGCCTTATGTCTGCAGTTTATTTTGTCTTGAACTGATAAAAGATAAGTAAACATGAACACAAATGTCATCAGGATACTGCAGGAGAGATCTAAGTCAGCCCAGAGCACAGGAGCTGAGCGGGGGCCTTATGATGGCTGCAGCTCCTCACAGGGAGCGGAGGGGCAGTGCTGAGCTCTGCTCTGTGTGACAGCGACAGGCAACGGCATGGAGCTGCATCAGGGGAGGGCAGCTGGGGGTCAGGGGAAGGGGCTGCACCAGAGGGCGTTGGGCATGGAACGGGCTGCACAGGGCTGTGGGCGCAGCCCCAGGCTGCTGGAGTTCAAGGAGTGCTTGGATAGCACTCCCAGATGTGAGATCTGATTTTTGGATGTTGCTGCGTGGAGCCAGGAGTTGGATTTGATGACCCTTGTGGGTCCCTTCCAACTTGGGATGTTCTGTGATTCTCTATACATGATCTACAGAAGCATCAGTAGTGTCAATTTTCCATTTGAAAAAGTGGTCAGTGAGTGACAGTCGAGCACTTTGTATGATAGTTGTGGTTGTGTGGCTTCTTCACTCTTCTGTTTTGAATTTAAACCACAGAGGTGGTGGTATCTCAGCTAAGGAGCATTTGTTCTGCTTTTTTCAGATCACTGTCATGAATGGCTGCTGTGCAGTTTTTGCCACTCTGTCAACTGTGCTGTGTGACCCTGGTGGTGAGTAAAAATCTGAATGCTTTTTGCTTGAAAGCATTTATCAGTGCTTCAGGGAGACCTGAGAGTGGTCTGTCAGTATCTGCAGGGCTGTAAGAAAGAAGGGGACAGAAACTTTAGCAGGATCTGTTGCGATATAGCAAGGGGAAATGGTTTCAAACTAAAAGAGGGGAGATTTTGACTGGATATGAGGAGGAAGTTTTTTACAATCAGGATGGTGAGGCACTGGAACAGGTTGCTTGGAGAGGTGGTAGATGCCCCATCCCTGGAGACGGTCAAGATCACACTGGATAGGGCTCTGAGCAACCTGTTGTACTTGTAGGTGGCCTTGCTCACTGCAGGAGAGTTGAACTAGATGACCTTTAAAGGGCCCCTTGCAACTCAAATGATTCTGTGATTCTGTTTACAAGTTAAAAGTGAACATGATAGCACTGTGTCTAAATGACAGCTTGCTTTCCTTATAACTGGATGAAGCATAGCATGGACTTAGTGTTTCTTTGTTTCTAGCAAAGTATCTTTGAACTAATGCCTCTGATTATTTCTATAAGGTTGGAAAACATTTGAGGTACCAGCAGGCCAGCTGCTTTCTGGAACATCATCTATAGGGTTTTGGGGAGGAACAGTATAGGAAGAGGAAGGGTGTAAAGATAACAGAAAGTGAACTTTGAAGAGTGATGAGAAAAAGAGATGGGAACCACATAGAATCTGAAGAGAGCAGCACACAGAAAGTGGACTGGGGAAGGAAAGCATCCATAAGGAATTTGGGAAAAGGGAGTGGATCTGTAGCAAGAGAGGGATTTTCAGCCAAGGGAATACCTGGAGTAGGTGTGAACAACATCCATGGGCACCCATCGGAGTGGGAAGGTGAGCAGGATGACCTCAGCACATGGTGGTAAAGAGGCTGTGAAATCAGTTTTGTTTAAAATGGTAAAAAAAATGTTTACTCAAGGCTACTCATATTCATGTCCTACTTTAATACGTTCAGATTTTTTGCATTTACAAAGCTTTAACAGAAACTCTTTTGCCTGAAGACTGACAAACTCCTTTCTCCCCTTCTTTAATAGGAGGAAAGGAAGTACACTGTCCTCTCTGAAACCCTGGCACATGGGGTATTGGCAGGGAAGCACCAACCTGGGGCTTCTCACAGAAATAAAAAAGCAGAAGGGAAAGAAGTTCCACGGTGCTGCAGGATTCCATGCTGCAGTTTAGCACTTTGGCAGCCAGGGAGAAGTACTTAAGGTTTGCAGTAGTTCCTGATGAAAAATTAAGAGCACATTGACAAAATGTTGTGAGCAAGATAGTTATTTGTCACTATTTTATTAGAATAAGTCACACAGCAAGTTGACAAGGCCTATACCCTTTTACTCATATGACTTGATACACATCTGCTATTGAAAATGCTAGGGAAGAGGACTGGGTAGAATTCAGGTTGACTGACAAGTACAAAATTTTCAACTTAGTTTGAATATTGGTTTAGGCTGCAGTGAATCCTTTGAGTTGAAATCATGTCAAATTCCTCGACTGGTAGTTCAATTTACTAGTGTCTTAGCAAAGTGATTCCTCATGAGAAACCTTAACTTTCCTAACTTTTTCATTCTTCTAAATACTTTCAGATGGATATCTTATTCCAGCTCCTCACTATGGTGGCATAAATTCAAAAATGTGGCTATATGGTGGACTGCAGCCCGTGCATGTGCCCTTGTCCAGTGAGGTAAACACATGTTCATATACTGTTCATATGCTTTAGCAGTATTCTTCCCTCCTTGAAGCAGTGCCATCAGAAACTGTAGTTTGTTTAGCTTATTTAAGGGCCAGTATTGAGTGTATTTTTCACTGGGTGGGAGTGTTTCCTCCTTTGTTCTCGCTGATTGTTTTTCTCCTGTAGGTGACTAATGAAGAAACTCACCCTTTCCAGTTAACAGCTGAAAAATTAGAAGCTGCACTACAGAGAGCTAAAAAGCAGGTAGCAATAGCAGTGTCTTCTGATTTTTCAGATTTTCCTTATGTTTTTTTTTTAAGTTGCATATGCTCTTGGTATCAAACCGTTTGTAGATATATTATGCAGATATTCTGGAGCAGGGGAGGGTGGGTCCAACTCTAGCAACAGGACTGCATTTGTTTCTGTAATCTGTAGCAAAATGCAGAGAAACTCCTCGCTGTGTTTTATGAATAGATCTTAATTTGTCTTTCAAGACTAAGTCTCTTGCTTGGTAATGGAACTCAAAGTATAGTAAAGAAGCTGTTGTTCAGATCCTAAAAAGAGAGAATATGTTACTGTAATAATGTGTGTAGTTAAGGAAAGGAATCTGTTGAATGTGCTTCTGAGGAGGGCTCTTCTGGAGCACAGAGGACAGAATCTGCTGTACCACAATGTCACTGGGAGCTTGGTGGGGTCAGGAGGTTTGGCACAGGATGTTTCTTCCACTAGGATGGCTCCTCAGAAAACATATAATTTTCACAGGATTTAGGAAATGTCATTAGACCAAAAGTCTTAGCATTTTGAGTTGTTTTATTCTGATCAGGTTTGTGTAAATGAGGATATTATTTCTCATATTGTTAAATATATTTTTTTTCCCTCTTTGTCTTTGGAACTTTTTTAGAAATGCTTGGTTTTGTGAGTGCCCACAAAGCAGTGCTCACCAGCGTTTCAAGATCAAATGCTTCCTGTTCTTAGTGTCGTCTTGGTATTTATGGTCCACAAACTTCTTGGAAAACTACAAATGCACTCAGCCTTTGTGCTCTTCCTTGATAGAATCCAGCAGGGGAAGCATAGGATGAGTAGTAACACATTTTATCAAAGATGTGGTGAGGGTAGTGGTGTTACAGAAGACTAACACAGATTTGTTATGTCCTTTTCTAGGGTAGAAAATAAGGTTTAACAACAGATACCGCAGATAGGCACAAGTAGGGTCACTTGTAGTAAGGTCACATATAAAAAAGTGGATATTTTGTATACACATGGATGCGTGTATAGTTTTTATTTTAATGTAAGACATGTCAAAGCTCTCCTATTTACCCAACTGCTTCGTCAGCACAGTGCCTATGTTTAGACACCATCTGTATGTCTGTGTCATCAGCCAGTGCCTCTGCCAGTCTGTGTGGGACTGAATGTGCAGCTGCCCACCAACCCTCCTTGCTGGGCAGGGTGTGAGCGCCATGCTCGTGTGACATGGACTGCCCAGACAAGGTGTGGGGTCACAGGGCAAGGTGTGTGATCCTAGAGCTGAAACTGATCTCGTGGATAACATTGCAAACATCTGTTTGGATACGTGCAAGGTAGTAAGCAGACTAGAAGAGCAGTTGTGAATCTGCCATCCCTCAGCAGCTGTTCCTGTGAACATGAATGCCTCAGCATCTTCTGCTTAATGTGTGTCAGCTGTCAGATATGCCAAGCATGCTTTGGGTTTAGTATCTGCATCGTTCCCCATTAATTTTTTACCGTTTGGACTCCAAGGCAATAAGCTGAAAGCTCCTACTGTGAGCAAGAGCTGAACAAGAAACCATTAAATTTCAGACAAATTGCATATGGAGGGGAAAGCAAGTATTGGTGCTTCCACCTAATTTAATTTCCTGGAGTTCTTCTGGAGATGCTTAACACAAATGATCTCCTTCAGAGAAGGCCAGGATGGACTGAGAATATGCAGTGTGACCATTTTTCTAAAGCTTAAATGTGCTGAAACAAAAAGTACTCATTTAAGTTTATTCCAAACATGAAGGAATAAGGTAATGCCTCATGCTGGTGCATTTAAAGTCTTGAAGGTTTTTGTTGCAGCCATTAACTGTTTGCCTGCTTGCAATCAAATCTGTTTGGAAGTGTATCTTAGGACCACTGTTCATCCCCCCCCATCGTGATCTTGCCTGTTGGGGTCAGTGGATGCTTCAAATGAGCATTAACCTGATTTTCATTCACTAACAAACCTTTTGGTGTGATCTTGGCATTTCACAGAATGAATACTGAAACAAAACCTGCAGTTTAATCTGCATGCTAATGTATACCAGGTATAATTCAGTGATTTCTAAAAGCCAACTTTCCATGGAAGGGAACGGTCTGCTCTTGCTGCATCCTCCAGTTTCAGTTTGGTGTCACTGCTGTCTCCCACTGCTGGTTTTTCTTTTTTCAGGGCATCAGAGTGAGAGCATTAGTCCTCATCAACCCTAACAACCCCTTAGGGGACATTTACCCAGCGCAGTTACTGAAGGAATGCCTTGACTTTGCACACAGGTTTGAGCCCTGGCACTATTTGTTTGGTATTCAGTTTTCCATTATGCAATACAGCGATGAAGAAAAATTACCTTTGTTACCTCCTGTCCTTTGTTCCTGTTCTGAGGAGGTGGCATGCATAGACTTGAGCTTGGCTTCTGTGTAACTACCCTTTGTGCTTGGCTTTTCTGGGAGCACAAAAATAAAATGGGATCTCTCTGAGATCCAACAGTTTGTTTTGAAATGAAATACTGTTGGGATTATTTAAAAAAAAAATCTTGTGATTTCTATGCGTGAAATCAGTGTGGTGAGTGTAATAGCAAATAGGCATGCTATTATGGATACTTTGCCATGTCAGTAGTTAAGATTATATAGAAATATATATATGTGGAAATAAATTAATTTTAAATACATTTAAATGCCTGTATTTTTTATACACAGACATGAATTGCATGTAATAATGGATGAAATCTACATGCTGTCTGTTTATGATGATACCACCTTCACCAGTGTTCTTAGCTTAGATAGGTAAGTGTGATTTCTTAGCATGGGTCAAGATATTTAATCCAAAATGGAAACTATGCCTTTTTAAAAACTTTCTGCTTAGCTAGTATAACTGTGTATTTCTAACTAATTCATATTCAGGTCTTTGCATCTGTGAGAATTGTTAATACAAGAGATGCTTCTAGAGTGACATGAACAGATCTCTTGGTTGTAGCTAATGTGCATGGCATAGTAATAGTAATCAAAAATTGACAGAGCCCTTCATCTTTCTCAAGTGACCTGCTGCCATGAGTCTCTTTCCTGACTAGTATGCTGTTGGGCACTTAGTGTTCTCTGGCAGGAGATGGAAAGAGTAATTCTTCAAGAATGCTTAAACCTATTGGTATCTGACTAATAGAACTTCTTTCTCCGGAAGTATGGTCTTAACTGTATAATTATCTCACTGATAGGAAATTTCCAAGTCCATCCAAGTATAACCAAGTAGTCACCTACTGGTTGTTGTCTCAACCACATAAGATCATAAGCTATAAATAATGCCCGAAAAAATGCTGTTCTTGCTGTGAAAGTTCACCTAGCTTTATTAAGCTGAAGAAGGAAATTTCCAGGCTTAGCCCTATTAACTCAGAGTTACACAAAGGAGAAAATAGCATCTTCTTCAGTAGTCTACAATGCAGTATTCTGTTTGATTGTACCAAATCATGTAAATACATGACCTGAAATGTTCACCTCTCCCTTCCCCAGCCTGAAACACAGCAGAGTGGAGCAGAGTTGTTCTCTGTTGAGTACAAGACCCGTTTTGCATCCCTTATGGAAATACTGCTTTTGTTCTAATATAGGTGTGAGTGCTGACTGTGCAGCAGGAATCTGGGAAATATAACTGGTCTGTTACATCTTACTAGAAATCCTTTTCTGTTATTTCATGTCTGTGCCTCCTAGAATACTACGTGCATTTTGTTACAAGTTCTCTGAAAACATCCATGCCACTTGAAAAGTTTAAATGCTAATTTCACTGAAAATGAATTATAATTTTACATATTTAATCATTTTGTATGCCTGCACAACTTGTTCATCTACAGCAACAATTCTTATCTTCTTTTCTCATTCAGTTTACCAGATCTTGAACGAACACATTTCATGTGGGGTTTTAGCAAGGTAAGTCAAAATATTATCTTTGTGTTTTAAGATATTTCACCACAAAACTTATTTGAACTATTCTGACATAATTTGTATTACATATAACAAACTGAGCTTCTCTTTATTCATTACTTTTTCCCCTGGCGATCTAGAATTTATTAATTTTAGCAGTTTAATTAGGGATCTACTTAACAGAAGCAGTTAATGCTTATTTATACAGCCACCGTGGCTGTATTTTCTGGGGAAAATTACAGTGGAAGTATGCATATAAGCACCTTCTGATCTGTAGCATTTTGTCTTTTCTTCTCTTGGAGGGAACACTAAACTGATGGCTGATTGGAACAGGGGTTTAATGGGGTATAATGGAGACTGCCAAGGGTTTGAGTCAAGCCTCTTTCAGTTGTTGGCCTTGAAAGCAATCTTGGTAAAGCCAGTGGTCTTTCATTATTCTTGCCTATAACTAAAGGTACACAAAATATTTATCTGAGAAACACGAAAGGCTTCAAAACTGAGCTAATGAAGAGCAGTGTAGGACTTTTAACCAAGTTGTGTTATTTTACGCTGCTTTGCCAGTGTTGCCTTCACATTCTCCTTCACCATCTCCTTCTCCCTCTGCCTCTCCTGTCTCACAGTTGTTTGGATGTTACTGATTGTTTCCTGCTGTTCTTGGGACTACATTTGTCCAAGTGTGCTCCAGAAGAGAAGTTGGATGTTTCCAGTTAATGTAATGAGCAGAAATTTCCATAGCCACTTGTTTGTTCTGCAGACCTGTCAGGCTTGGGTAAATGAGACCTCCAATTTGGCATGGAGAATGTTTGCAAAGATTTCATGATGCAGGCGACATAATCTTACACCTCCTGTTGCAGACAGGGATTAATTTGGTACCTTATTCAGTGGACATTATACTATCTGTTTGTGTTTGTTTGTTTGGGGATGGAGCAGTCCCTGCATTGTACATAAAATGACCCTAGGAATGGCAGTAGGTCAGTATTTTTAACTTGGATGTTACTCTATACTTTTTATCCTAAATTTCTTGGTCATGGTCTTTCATTCTCTGCTTGGCTAATGACTTCCTTGCTGTTAATGCTCAATGAGGAGCTAAAGGCTGTTTTCATTAATATTAAGAATTCTTTCATCAGTAATAATGCAAGAGATATGCTGATAATAACTACATTGATAGATGTTGTTTGCCATCGAGTTGGTGACTTGCAGTAATAGAATTTAGGATTTCATGTCTTGTGCACTGAACCATATGGCCTTCTGCATAGGGACTCAGTGAAATTTGACTTTAATATGTATGTGCTATTGCATACTTACGTAGCTTTTGGAAATACTTCTGAACAGTGACTGTTGCAGAATACGTACTTCAGTAGGCTCTGATGACAATGCCAAACTTAATTTTTGTAGTTACTCATCTGTTCTCAATATTTTTTTATTCTTCATCATAGAATCACCGACTTTGGAAAAGACCTCCAGTATCATCCAGTCCAACCATCCACCTATTACCAATATTTCCCACTAAACCACGTCCCTCAGTACAACATCTAAATGTTCCTTGAACACCTCCAGGGACAGTGACTCCACCACATCTCTGGGCAGCCCACTCCAATGCCTGCTGTGTTATCAAATGTTTTATTGTGTCATCAAAGGTTATTTTTGCAGAGCAGGAACATTTATTTGATCAAACAGCTGATGTGGTAACATGATGGGGACTATGTGGAGCTTGCTGGGGGTCCATCCCTGTGGGGATCCACAGTTAGCCTGACTCCCATGAGGCCATGGGCATCACAGGCCTAAATGGCAAAAGCAAGGTCTGCTTAGTTACTATGTTTGTTGCTTCTGCTGTGCTGAGGTGGTGGTCACGGGTGGTGATCTTTTACAATAGGGAACTGTACGCTTTGATCAAGAACAAACACTGGACGTAGAAACAAGATGCAATGTAGATATGGTTGCTTAGGGAGGTCTTGAAACTGTTGAGACTTGTATGCAAGAAATACACAATCATCTATATGTGTGTGTGTGTGTGTGTGTGTGTGTGTGTGCTGGTGTGTTGGATATAGAATAATAATAATAATACAGGACTTTCTTAAGAACATGACAGAGGCCTCTGGTTGCTGAACTGCGACAGTAATGTACCTTTTCTTGAGATTTATTTTCCTTTACATCAGAATGATTCTAAACTTGGTGGCTTGATAAAGAACAAGCATAAAGTAAAAATTGCTTCTCTCCATCTTCTTCTTGTCCTCCCAGGATTTTGGTATGAGTGGAATCAGAGTTGGGGTACTGTACACCAGAAATCATGAAATTCAGAAAGCTGTGAATCAACTAGCTGTCTTCCACAGCTGTCCTGGACCCGTTCAGCATGTTCTCACTCAATTCCTTAAGGACAGAGGTTAGCCCCACTAGAAATGTTCCATTGAGCTGGTTGGTTTTTTTTGCTTTGTTTTTTTTTATTATTATTATTTTTATTACAGGTGGAAATAAATAGAATTTTGTTTGTCTTGATTTTATAGATTGGTTGGATAATGTGTTTTTTCCCACCAACAAGAAGAGACTTAAGGAAGCACAGAATCTTCTTGTGGATGGACTTGCAGACATTGGAATACCTGTGCTGAAAAGTTCAGGAGGACTCTATGTGTGGGCAGACTTCAGAAAAGTATGTAAGAGTTTTGAAATAGTGGGAATGTAGAAGCTGAAAATGTGAAAATGTGCATGTTGTTAAGTGCTTTAATATCAGGTCATAGAAAGCTCTTTCAGTCTGTGTATTTGTTCAATCTTTAATAATAATCTTTTTTTTTTTTTTTTTTTTTTTTTTTAGTTCTTAAAATCACAGACATTTGAAGCTGAACTCGAACTATGGCAGAAGATCCTTGATAAGAAACTCCTGATTAGTCCTGGGAAAGCTTTTTATTGTTATGAACCTGGATGGTTTCGATTAGTTTTCTCTGATTCTGTGAATAAGATTTATTTATGTAAGTTGGTTTTACTTTTAATACATCGTGTAGTAGCGTGCAAGACTTGGGAAACATTAGAATTATTCAAATCTGCTTATCCCCTCTCAGCTTGTGAGGGCATTATTAGCCCTTGTATGAAACTGAGAAATACTAGAATAGCCCTGAATACTAGAATACTGAGCACTACTCTTGGGTTATGTCAAACCTTTCCAGTTTGTGGAATTGCATCTTAAGAATTGTTTTTTCTATATTGGAAGTCACTGCTTCTTCTTGAAAATTACCCATTATATCATGTCGGCATTCCACAGCACCCCTAATCTGTACGTGCTTCATAGGTGAGATATGAAAAATTTACCCATTCTTTATGCACTAAAATACTTAATCTTGAACAATTGCTATATATTATTGGCAAAAGGGATTTCTGTGAAGTAAAGGAAGTGTATGGGGTAACAAAAAAAAAATGTAGGTTGGGAGGGAAATCTACTACATCAACTTCCTGCTGAGAGTGGGGCCAGGTGCTAAGTCAGAGCTCAGAGCCTTCTTTAATCAAGTTTCAGGACTATCTAAAAACAGATTACACAGCATCTCTGAGCAATCTGTGTCCAGTCAACTTTTCCCTTCTATTTTCACTATTTCTACAGGATAAGAAAAGCTTGAACTGAGTTATGTTTCCCTTTGATAGGTATTGAGAGACTTCAGCAAATGCTGCATGCTGATGATGCCAAACCAGTTGTAAACAACACATCTGCTACTGCAGACTCTTCATGCAGCCCAGAAAAAGATTCTTCTGGCATACCATCAAATACACCACGAGATGATGCCTCCCAGCTAAAAAATATATTTGTTTTTTAAATTTATCTGTGTGTTTAATTACTGATGAAATTTAGCATGCTTATGTTTACTAAAGGATTACATTACTTAGGTATTTTTGGCTGTACCATTGCATAACAGTCTCACTTCACTGTGACTTGGCATTTCTAGTCATGCACGCAGACCTGTTGAATGGAACTTGAAGAAATTGAACTTTTTAGATATTCTGAAATTTGCCCTTGTTGAGCACTGCCTCCAGCTTTATTCAATTTAAAGTGGATTAAGCATCAGTGAAAAGCAAGAAGTCTTACATATATACCTGGATGGCAGATTATAAAATTTTGTACATACTGGTAAAAATTATGCAGATAGCTATATGTAGTGGACTGCATATTTTAATCAGAAGACTGCAAATACTAAATCAGGTGATATTTAAGTTTTAAATTTTTGTAGCTGTCAAAAATAAGAGATACTGTCAATAATTTCAAATACCTGTAATGCTCCAAAACCAGCAGTATAGTGCAATACAGGGTTAAACATCAAGTTTTAAAGTAACTCACTACATGCACATGAGATGTGGGCCCATGTTCAGCATGTTGCAGCGGTTAATCCTAAGATCATCACCCCTGAGTTTTGCTCTCCTTCTCACTTTGTTGAGCTTCCTGTTTGCTGCTCTATCAAATTACCAAGCATCCAGAAGTACAAATGACAGTCCTTAAAAAGATATTCACAGTAACCATCACCATCCCCTCAAACATCTCCCATCTTCTCTGTAGTCCGTAACTTTTCACTGGGGTTCAATTCTGACAATAAATGCAACATAATTCATTGATCAAGGGGCCATCTCATCAGTGAGGAAAATATTTCACTGATGAGTGGGTATGTTGTGTTCACTCTCTCATTAATACACTTCTACAATATCTTAAGATTTTTTCCATCCATAGAAATACTATTACATGAAAATACATTCCACAGCCACCTTGCCAGAATGCCTCAAGGAGCAGTCCTGTACTTTCCTTTAGGTAGAAGTGGCACTTTGCTGATAGTTGAGGGCAGCCAAAATATTTGGCTTTGCTGTGTGTTCAACCAACTAATAGCAAAGTAAAGAAGAAGATCATAGCAATGGGTATGAAAAGTCCTTGTGCTGCCTCGATATGGTCTGCAGAGTGCTGCACTTCCATGGGCTGACTTTGGAGCTCAGTCACTGTCTTTGTTAGATCCTTGTAAGAAGAGGGAAGAAAACAGCACATATGTTCAGTTTTGCATTTTGGAACTTCTGCAACTTACATTAAAAGAGAAGTACTCACCATCTGTTTTATTTGGCAAGAAATTGCTATGTAAAAGGGACAATATAGAGAACTGTCAATGTCTGAATTACAGCAAGAGGATTCTTCCAGAAAATGATTGCAATCCCCTATTAATGATAAGAAGTCTTAACTCCTTTCCAGCAGGGACAGAGGGCTGTTCAACCCTCAGGACTGCAAAATTATTTGTAGACAGTGGACACTTGGAACCCAAAGTAGAGAAAAACATTGGGAAGACATGCATTACATGCATTCCTATCACCGCAGCCAAGAAGCAGACTGCTCCTTCAGCTCCTGCATATAGAAATGTTACCTGGCCATCACACTGGCAGCAGGGAGATACAAGTAGTCCAGAGATCACTTGTATGCTTCAGCAGCTAAGCCAAATATTTCCTGATTCTGGAAGGTAAGAAGTGCAGCTTGCTATTTGCCTCACCCAGTTTGTTGGAGAAAGGGTTTGCCTTTCTCAGGCCAGGCCTAAGAAGCAGCCAATCTGCAGGCCACAGCTCTCAGCACCCCCATGTCACGCAGTGTGCACAGAGAGGGGACAAACTGCAGCACCAGAGAGTGGCATTTGAGAGCTTCACCAAGAGCTTGTAGCAAAGCAGTGACTTACTGATGAAAAATGCAGGATTAATGTCATACTTACAGTAGCAAAGAACAGAATTCCAAACAGAGCATACAAAGCCTGGAACTTCTGTGAGGAAGAACAAAAAACTTGAGTCAGAATCACGTAAAAATAATTTCATCATTGCATTTGCACCTCCAGCTGAATCCAAGAAAGGCCACACAATGAAAACAACATGATGGAGCAGTTAACCTGAAACAGGCAAGATTCTACTTCTGTCACATGCCTACCTATGCTTGTTATAGGATTGGGAAGAAGCAAAACTCATTAGTTTATTATATGGGATAATCTACAGCCCATGTCTACTCATCAGATGATTAAAGGTTAACCTTTCCTAAAAAGTGGCTGACATACCCCAGCCAGACCAAATGGCCTCAAATTGTGCCAGGGAATATTCAGGTTGGATGTTAGGAAGAATTACATCTCTGAAAGAGTGGTCAGGTGCTGGAATGGACTGCCCTGGGAAGAGGTGGTGGAGTCACCGACCCTGGAGGTGTTCAAGAAACATTCAGATGCTGTACTGAGGGATGTGGTTTAGTGGGGAAATATTGGCAATAGATGAATAGTTGGACCTTGGAGGTCCAACTATTCTTGGAGGTCTTTTCCAACCTTGGTGATTTCATGGTTCTATGAAGTGGTTACAGGTACTGCAGGACACAGACTGACTCATGCCAGTGCATCCAACAAGCACACATCCAGTAAGGTACTTACGTATGAGTTTATAATGACACAGGCAATTGCCCCAGCAACCCACAGGATGCTCAAAGTGCTCGTTATGGTGAAGTTCATTGGAGGTTTCTGGGGACAAAAAGCACAGTGACGCTATTTTTGCTGCAATTAGCCAGCACATCTTTGAATCAAAACAATACACGATGTGCAGGGATGTTGATTAATGAACTAACATCAGTAACATGCATAAAGACAAACCCAGAGACTACTGCTGCTGACTTGACTTAAGCTTTTGCTCCTCTTACTCAGTTTATTAATAGACCAGTATTTCCATAAACCAGATTCTTGTCCTGCTTCTCCCTCCTCCCCCCCCCTACAGAATCGTAGGGGTTGGAAGGGACCTCCAGAGATCGAGTCCAACCCTCCTGCCAAAGCAGGTTCCCTACAGCAGGTCGCACAGGTAGGCATCCAGGCAGGTCTTGAACATCTCCAGAGAAGGAGACTCCACAATCCCCCGGGGCAGCCTGTTCCAGTGCTCCGTCACCTCACTGTAAAGAAGTTCTTGCACACATTCATGTGGAACTTCCTATGCTGCAGTTTCTGGCCATTTCCCCTTGTCCTGTCTCTACACATTGCTGAAAAGATTCTGGCCTCGCCACTCGGCCCCCCACACCTTAGATATTTATAGACCTGGATCAGGTCCCCTCTCAGTCTTCTTTTCTTAAGGTAAACAGACCCAGTTCACTCAGCCTTTCTTCATAGGAGAGATGCTCCAGGCCCTTCACCATCTTTGTGGCCCTCCGCTGGACTCTTTCCAAGAGATGCCTGTCTTTTTTGTACTGGGGAGCCCAGAACTGGATGCAGTACTCCAGATGAGGCCTCACCAGGGCAGAGTAGGGGGGGAGGATCACCTCCCTCGACCTGCTGGACACGCTCTTTTTAATGCATCCCAGGATGCCATTGGCCCTCTTGGCCACAAGGGCAAACTGCTGGCTCATGGCCAACCTGTCGTCCACCAGGACACCCAGGTCCCTCTCCGCAGAGCTCCTCTCCAGCAGCTCATCCCCCAGCCTGTATTGGTGCATGCAATTATTCCTCCCCAGATGCAAGCCTCTACTCTTGCTTTTGTTAAACCTCATCTGGTTTCTTACTTCCCAGCTCTCCAGCCTGTCCAGGTCTTGCTGAATGGCAGCACAGCCTTCAGGTGTGTCAGCCAATCCTCCCAACTTCGTATCATCAGCAAACTTGCTGAGGGTGGCCACTATCCCCTCATCAAGGTCATTGATGAAGATGTTGAACAAGACTGGACCCAACACCGACCCCTGAGGAACAGGCTTCCAACCAGACTCTGCACCGCCAATGACGACCCTCTGCGCTCTGCCAGTCAGCCAGTTCTCAACCCACCTCACTGTCCACTCATCTATCCCACACTTCCTCAGCTTTGTTATAAGGATGTCATGGGAGGCATTTTCATGTTTTGTTAATCCCTTAACCTGACTTTCAGCTCCTGCTGCCTTCCCATTGATACTCATCAGCATTTCTGCTTTCATTTCCAAGAAACAGATAAGTGGTGATATAATCATGAGTAAAACCCCATAAATACAGCACGTTCTGTAGTATAAATTCTGAATTCTCTCACATTAAGTGTAGGGAACCTTTGGACAGAAGAGAAAAGCTGGGACAGAAAGAGGGAGATTGGTCCTATGAGTGTCACAGCCTCCAGCACAAACTGCTCAGTTCTGTTTCTTTCTACTTTGCTAGTTTTTGAGTGGCATACAAAGTCTGCAGAAATTGAGCAACTCTAAAAGTCAAAACAGATATAAAACTGTCATTAATATCACAACAACTTAGATTACTTGAAGTTACGATTACTTGAAGTTACCTAGAATGTTGTTAATACTTACATTTGTCTTCTGAGCAAATAAATATAGTAACAGGGTTGCAGCTGCAGTTATTCCTCCAGTTAACATCACTGTCTCTGACTCATAGGAGCTAGGACACAAGAGACAACCTGTTATCTCACACTGTGCTCAAGCAGAAGGTAAGGCAGTGAAAGAAAAATGGTTGAAGGACTTACTCTGAAATAATTCCAAGTACTGCACTTCCAATTGCTGTCTACAAAGACAAAAAAAAAAAAAAAAAAAAATTAAAAAAAAAAAAAAAAAATCACTCATCACAGAGAAAATAATCCTTTTGACGATTGTTGGAAATCAGTGTTATCCAGAACATTTGCCTCACAGAATGGGAAAAAAAATTCCATGATGGATATAATGCAGGCAGATTGTTTTAGATGACATTTCTCGCTGAGGAGAATTTTAAATGTTGTATCAATTGATGAAACGTGAAAGCACTTGAAGAGGAAGAATCGTGGAGTTCAGCAATAGGCTTACCACTGTCAAGCTGTAAAAGGCATTCACGGAACCCATTTGGCTGGCTGCAGAGCTCAGGAGGATAAGAGCAATGCACATCCTAGTTACAGAGAAAAAAAGCAAAGAAAACATTTTCAATGAGTGATAGTTCCAATAAAGACAGCGCATAAGTGGTAACAGTTTTAATACTGAAAGCAAAGCGTTCAGATTCCCATGTGCTCATCAGTCCAATAAATATTCAGTGATTTATTCCAAAGTATTTTTGTATTACTGAAATGGAGTCTCAATTACACAGGCTGTACTGGTTGAAACAGAGCAGCATTACATACTTGCAAGTGAAGTAAATAAACTTTTTTTTCCCCTCAAATATTTGTCATATATTTTTGTGGATATCAGAAAAGATTTTTATTTATTTATTTTTTTACCTCTAACTCACCTAAGTGAGCATCTCTGAAGATTTGCAAACTTGTATCAGAAGGCTGCACCCAAGGGAGAACACAAAGGCCATGCTGTTCGTCATGTAATTCATGCCTAGCAGCTTTTCGGTAAGCAGTATATCAGCATGCCCAGAGGCTTTACTTTCTGCTTTTTCTAGGTCCTTTCAGCCCCTGAGCATGTCGAGCAGAGATTGTTCATACAAATCATTTGAGATTTAGAATGGATACTGAGATATAGGCTGGATATAAGGAAAAGGTCCCTTACAATAAGGGTGGTGAGGCACTGGCATAGGCTGCCCAAGAGGTGGTAGACGCCCCATCCCTGGAGGTCAGGGGGAGATCAGGATCTGAGCATTCTGATCAAGCTGTAGGTGTCCCTGTTTATCGAGGGGAATTGGATTAGATGATCTTAAAAGTCCCTTCCAATACAAAAAGTCCTGAGATTCTATGACCATAGCATTTACCTGAACTTGAAGCCTGGTACGTCATTCTGGGTACTTACACAAAAGTGAGGGATATCCAGTAATAGTTCCCCAGCTGGAGCCGTAGCCTGGACCTGCAAAGACACAGCAGGAGTTAGAACATCCTATGAGACTGCAAAGCACTTTGCAGCCTATCCATGGGGTTGCTGAAGCCTCAGGGATAAGGTCATCCCAGCAGGTGGGCTTCCATTACATTTGGGCATAAAGCAACTTCTCCTATTTTCCATTTTTAACCACTGAGCGTAATCTTGCAACAACTTGGACCTCTGGGTTTCCATCTTTTAGCTACAGAGTCACTCTAAACCCCAGAGCAGGCTCTGGAAAATGCAGGCTCTGGAGAATGCAGGCTCTGATGAAGAGCTGGGGGATCATGGAATCATTTAAATGCATCAGGGCTGAGTTGTATTCACAGCTGTAGAGAATCTCATTACCTGCAACTTCCCTCGTTAGCACCTAGGGAGTAGCACCCTCCAGACCCAGGCAGCCAATCAGCTTAACCACAGAGATGTTGCTGTGAGAGTGACTAAACAGAGCCTGAACTTACCAGCCCAGAAATCCCACTGCTATTGCGAGATAAGTGGCTGCCAGCCCATAGACCTTCTTGCTAAAATCTGGAGAGACCACATAGACAATGTTATTTCAATCATTTCACCAATGCAACAGAACTTGAGAGTAAAACCATGCTACCCCAAGAATATGTGGTGAAAGAGTGAAATGTTCCTGCTTCACTTGTTTGTCAAGAATTTCCCCTGGGAAGCCATCAAAAGTCCAGTGGGAGCTGTGGGAGGCCAAGGGGCATGGCCAGTGGTGGGTGTTTCACTCCATGGCTACAGCTGCAGGGTGCACTGCCACTTCCTATTTCTTTAGCAGTGCTGATGGTTAACCAACAGCTCTGTAACAGCCTTATAGGCCTCTTGTTTACTTTCACTGTATACCCAGTGCTGCCAGGTCACTCAAAAATGGGCTGCTTCTATGCTGCATCTGCATTCCCCTGCACAGCCTGGACACAGCCTGGGTGCAGACATCAGCCCAGCAGCGCAGGGATCCACTGCTCACCATGCTTTGAGGTAATGCAGACTTTAATCTCCATCTTTACTGGCTATGTTCTATATGGAACAAAGATCACATTTATTGTGGTTGCTGATATTGTAAATGTAATGATTAACAAAGGGCCTTACTGGCTCTACAGTAGTAAGAACAAAAATCTGTATAAACATGATTTTGTTCTGCCTGCTGTTAACTGTTCTGGATTAGAAAGATGATACAACCAAGTTCAATCTGTTATTTATACAGATGGAATCGGTACATGTCTTAGCTCCCCATACACATCTCCACAGAATTATGGAAGTAACTCAGACCAGTAACAACAGAACATTGCATTCTGTGATTCTCTCACTCTTACCCATGCAGTTCCACTTATCATCAGGGGGAAGACCCAAATCCTTCGGTTCCCTTTGGTCCCTCGGAGCTGGAGGCTGTGACCGTGGCCTGCCTTGTGGAGGCTCCCCAAGGTTTGTGCTATGGGATTCTGGGCAGTCTCTGCTTCCTGCTTCTACCCTGTGCTCTTCCATTAGGGTTGCAGCTTTGCTGAGGTTCTTTGGTGATGTTTGTTTGCAAACATCAGTGTCTTCACTCACAATAACAACTTCTTCTTTGGTAACAACAGCTCCATGGGGCTCGTACTTCCTGATGAACTTCTGAAGCACTTGGATGTCTGTTTAATGAAAAGTAAATATAATTGGAACCAAGCTGCGGACAAAGAGGTGGCTTTCATCCGAAATCTAAAAAAAATCACACGGTCCTGGGCACCAGCTCTCTATCGACTCAGAACAGTAAACCCAAGCATCTGTTTCTTTCCATAGGAAAAAAAGGGTCGCTTCAAGAGCTTCTGAAGCTTTTTTGAGGGAGAAAACAGAGGCCGTACTGCACTCAGGATTTCTCTGGGGACAAAGCTGTGTCAGAGGTTCCAGCTGCCTCCCTGCACCACGTGTGTTCATGGTCCTTGTGCCCATCTCTTTACTGAAGAGCATCACTCCCTCCTGTTCAGTATCACTGATTGATTTCTTAACACAAATCATTCAGCTGACACTAATAGAAATAATTTTCCATGCAAGTAATATCCGACACAGTCAACAATCCCTTTCTTTCTGATAAATGTCCCACTCTGATAAACTCATGCCGCAAGGCAGTCTGTGGCAATGAATCTGAAATATATAAGCAGAATTTGGGAACCTCTTCTTCCCAAGCCTAGATTTCAGCAGGCCACTATGAAGGAGCGTAAAGATACCTTGTCCTGCTGGTCAGCAATGCATTCCTTGAGAACACTTCTCTCTCACATTAGGATGCATACAGCATTTTCCAATTACCTCTCCTTATAGCGTCAGAACACGGCAGAGTAAAAATGTTGCTTTGGTGGCATGCACAAGGACTTCTTAGTGCATCCTGATGACGTAGGTAGAATGTCAGGAGGTCTTCATTCCTTCGTTTGTGGGTGATTTGTTCTGTCCTGTTGCATCTCTTTGACTCAAACCTTTCATTCCCACTGGCCATTGTTGGTGCTGGGTTCTTCTCTCCTGCAATTTCCCACCTTCCAAAACAATGAGTGACTATTAGCTCCAAAAGGAGAACCAGCTGCAGACAGCATGGTGAATGACCAAGGGAAAGCTTTCACCACTTCCCAAAGACACGTCCTCTACCGGTGAGATCTGGATGATCTCTGTGCACCTGTCAGTGCAGCACTGGGTCTATCAGCCGGCTGCAAAGTCTGACTGTGCACAGTATTCCCGGCACTGCCCTTTAAAAATTAAATGCGCATTCAGTAGAAGATCAGCAGAGGTGGTAAACTAGAAAAACTCACCTGTGTTGATCTCTTGCTTATAACCAAGGAAGGGGCGGTAGTACGGGCTGTGCAGCAAGCATTGGGTGTTGGCCAGACAGAGCCTGTCCTTCCCTATAAGAAACCAACCACAGGCTGTGGAGGAAATGGGAGTAGATCCTGCAGACAGAGTTGGCCAAAACAAAACCAAAAGCAACTGCTTTGTGCCTACCTGTGAAGTCTGCATATCTCAGCTGTGACTTGAACACTCCCTTGCTGAGATAAGCAGAGGTGGCATGTTGAAAACGTATCCATATAAGGCTACAGCTTGTGACGAGTTCTGTGGGATAAATATGGGAATGTGTATTGCAAAGTCCTTCCTCTGTAGGCTCTTGTCAGGCTCAGCCTACGCATAATGCCCCACGGCTCACCTTGAGCAAGCAGAGACTTTGAGAAGAGGATCTGCACATTAATTTTGGTTTTTGGTGGCTAACAATATCTGCCAGTTCAAGTGCTGGTTTTGAACTCTTCGCAAAACTTTGATGTAGAAACAATGAAGGGTTGAGCTTGGAAGAAACCTCTGGAGGTCACCTGCTCCAAGCCCACTGCTGAGGAGATCTGCTGGCTTGCTGTAACGCTCCTCCTTTCTGAGCAGGTCCTACCTTGAGAGCCCTCTGTGCTATGTGCTCTCTTTCTCTAATGTCTCTCTTTCTAATCTCTATTCTCTCTTTTGCCAGCACTCAGAAGCATCGTTTTAGATCAACACAAGAACAGCACTGTGCTATAGCTTGACTCTTCAGAGCTGCCCACCTCCAACAATGGCCAAAAGCCAGAACATGCAGGAGAAGGGTATTAAGAACTGTGCAGTCACTGTAAGACTTCCTGAAACACCCAAGTAGTCCAAAGGTGAGTGTTGAGGATTCCTCACCATTGAACTGACTTTTCCAGTTCTACTGCATCTTTTTTATGTAAGCAGTCATTCAACAGAACACACATGGCAACACCACAGATGTCTATGACAGAATAATTTGTCAAGCTTTCCCTTGTTATCCTCTACCAATTTCCAGCATTTAGATTTTGTACAGCAGAAAGCTGGTGTTTTCATGGGCCTGGCTATCAAAGATGGGTTTTGATGTCTGATTAGCAATGATCACTAGGTGCAGAGCCTATCAAATTGCTTTTCTTATTCCTATCCATTTATCTATTCAATTATTACATTTCAGTTGCAAAGTGTACTCAGCAAGTTTTGTGAAGGTCTTCAGTAGTATTTTATCACCAACCTTTGTTTTTGCAGGCCTGGAAAAGTTAATTGTTAGTTGTGGTTGTTGTTACTGTTTCACTCTCCAGTCTCTGTCACAATCATTTTCAAGTATGTGAAACAGCGTGTGACCAGGGAGCAAGTCCTTGCAGGACCATCTATGGTCATTTAGAAATAGTCTTAACTCATTTGTTTTTCTTTCTCTGAAACACTTTCTCAGGTCAGCTCTTTCTCTTTTTGGCAGGGATGGCTGTTTGCACAAAACAGAACAACATGTGATAAGTCCCCCACAAAGACCTGTTCTGGCATAAATATCTCCTTAGGTTTCCAAGTGTTGGAACTCATTTGGCACCTCTGCTACAATAGCTTTATCACCTTTTACACGTAGCGTGCCTGTAAAGCTCCTGAAACAACTCTGTTCTGGCTCTTCTTGACTGTGAAGTTTCATAATTATCATGCAGCTTCCTCACTTGAACCTGAAGGCCACCATGACTTCCTTCAGAACACAGGTGGAGACCTCACATCTCTTCAGTGCTCACAGTGCAGGCATTGAATGGCATGGAGAGGAATGGTTGATCATTGTGTTGCCATTCAGTGCAACATGAGTAGGCTGGAGAAATGAGCCAACATGAATCTCATGAAGCTCAACCAAAGGAAATGCCAAGTCTTGCCTTTCGGGAGGCCCCCTACGTTCTCTGTCCCTCACAAGCAGCAGGAAGCAGCAAGCTCAGGGATTCCTAAGCACATCACAATGCTTTGAGCTGACTGGCTTGTAGAACAGTTTGTGCAGAAAGCCCTTAACACCAGTAGTTCAGTATTTGGTACTTTTCCGCTTCAGCCGCTTAAGTGTTTTCATTACTCTACTGAGACTATCAGTATATAAAATCGGTCTTTATTTCCTTTTCCTGAGCAAATGTTTAATTTGAATTCAGGATTATTTTTCATATCATTGTTAACTGCAAAGACTGAAAAAATTCACACAAATTTATAACAACGTACAGTTCAAACTGTATGTCAGTGTTGCCTTACTCAAGAAATAAGGATATATTCCAACAGGAGGAAGCAAGGTGACAAACCCAAATAACAGGCTTTAAATCTGCATTCAGCTATGTAAGAAGGGTATCTTCATACAGAAACAACGTTTAGCAGAAAGTTACTTAGGCCCATGGGGCTGAAAAACACTCCCTTAGAAGGTGACAGCTAAGAATACAGCCACATGGCTGATAGGCTTAAGCCTGAAGAAAAAAAATGAGTGCAATAGAAAACTAGTTACTGCATCACTGATCAAGTTTGCATCCACAAGTGTTTGTTTATGAATTTATTTGGGATATTTATGAGTTCATTTAAGAAATAAAGAAAAATTGCTGTCACAGTTAACCAAATTAAGCTTGGTTGACAGCAAGCTGAAAATGAGCCAGCAGTGTGCCCAGCAGCCAGAAGGGCCAACCATAGCCTGGGTGCTGCAGGCCCAGCATCGCCACTGGGCAAAGGGAGAGGTTGTGCTGCTCTGCTCTGAGCTGTGCGGCCTCTCCTCCAGCACTGGGTGCAGTTTGGGTGCCACAGCATAAGGAAACTGTTTAATAGTGTCCGAAGAAGGGGTACAAAGATGCCTACAAAGGAGTCCAGAAGGCAAGATGTATGAGGAGCAGCTGAGGTCCCTGGGTTTGCTCAGCCCGGAGCAGAGGAGCTGAGGGGTCCTCACAGCAGCTGCAGCTCCTCACAAGGAGTGGAGGGGCAGCACTGAGCTCTGCTCTGTGTGACAGCAACAGGACCCAAGGGAACGGCATGGAGCTGCATCAGGGGAGGGCAGCTGGGGGTCAGGGAAAGGTCTGCACCAGAGGGTGGTGGGCATGGAATGGGCTGCACAGGGCTGCAGGCGCAGCCCCAGGCTGCTGGAGTTCAAGGAGTGCTTGGACAGCACTCCCAGATACGTGATTTGATTTTTGGGTGGTGCCGTGTGGAGCCAGGAGTTGGATTTGATGACCCTTGTGGTTCCCTTCCAACTTGGGATGTTCTGTGATTCCATGAAAAAGGCATCTAAGGTGCTGCACAATTAGAAGTACATCCTGTAACTCATTTTCTGCGAAACTGGAAAATAAGAATGCTAAAGTCAATGTTCAGAAGTCAATTGATTTGCTCATCCAAGTAGAAGAGGGTATGAAACTCTGCGGGTTTTCCCAAAATGATCAGTAATGACTACAAAATATAACATGGGGAAAAAGAAACAACTTCAGTTTTAAAGATGAGATGTATTTTAAAATAAATACATAAATCCATGAAGTAAACAGAACATTTTATCCTTTTTTTTTTTTTTTTTTTTTTTTTTTTTTTTTAAACTTCTCCTACGGGATATGCAGACCTGAGGATATATTGAAAATAACTGGTCCAAAGTGTTCCTTTAAAAAATTATAAATTATTAGTAACAGTTTCTTTAATGGAGATTGCAGGGGTAGGTCCTACATGAGTCCATATATATCCCTTCTCTGGTCTTGTAGGAACAGTAGGGAAGGGAGATGATCGAGATTTGAAATATTCTGAAGGTGCGTGACAAACAAATTCCAAATATTCCATTTTCCTTGGGAGATCTTCTTCTGGTCCTATTTAAAAAAAAATAATGTTTTTCAAATACAAATTTTAAAAGGCATAAAAGTGGAGAGTCCAAGACGATATAATACACAACAAGAGTCAACATCTGCCCCACCAAAAAAAATACCTTGCATAGTATTTGAGGCTAAAGCACCAGTGAAAAACCTCCTTATTTCTGTCGGGTTGATTTTTTTCCCCATTTGAAGAACATGTTCTTAATAGATCCTATTTGTGCCTGCTGCCAGAAGGATTTACTCAATTTATTACTACTTCTTAATCAGCTGCAGAACACACTCTACGCCAGTGCTCTCAATGTACTTTATACATCCAAGATTAAAAGCAGCTAATTCTGGTCATTTCAGAAGAAACAGCTTGGACTGGCACATCTAGTTTATGTCATAATAACTTTAATTCTATCTGTGGAGTAGTAATTTGATCCTTAAAGTTGTAAGACTGTAATTGTGTGTGCCTGTGAGCACAAGAAATAAACAACCCCACTCACTGCAGCAGTGCTGCTCACATATATAAATTTTAAAAAGTATTCAAGCAAACTAAATGCTTACAGGATTAGGGTCTAAAATGTGGGAATCACATAAAAGACTACAACAAACCAAAGAAGTTTACTTAAAAGTTACAACTCTGTATTAGTTTGGGAACATGTAAGCAGTCATATGAAACGAAGGCTTAGAGATTACCTATGATATAGGATGCGGGGTCAAAGCAGTCTTTGGGGCTGGCTTGCGTAGGAATGAGCCATGTTAGTGCAGCACTCTTTTCACAGTATTGGTCCTGAATAAACCCACGGATCTGGGCATAGTATGTTTTGCCATCCTGCTCATCAACTACCGAAACAACATCTCCGATTTGGTAGTACACACCCTAGAAGGCACATAAATGAAAGTCAAATCAATCTGATCTCAAAAGCTTCACTCTGATTCATATGCTAAATATCATGACCTTACACTACCTCAAATTACCCCAATCTCAATACAGCCATAGCTTTCCCACATGCAATAAAAGGTGGCATGAACCAGATCACTGTCACACCTGAGCAGTCACCAGCATGACCTGTGTACAACCACCTAATGTCTGGAACTTTGAGTTCAGTCCCTGAACTGTTTTTGAGGCTCTACAGGTCAGCATCTCTGCCTGCCAAATGCCACAGAAGCAGCCTAGCCTCACCCACCTTCACAGAACCAGCTCTCAGTTGCTCTGCAACCCCCCTTCCCACTACTGCTGCACCTCCCATTTGCACAGCAGTGATGGTTTTGTTCAGTCAGTAGATGAGTGATACCACCTTCCATAGAAAGTAATAGCAGCAATCACCTTGTACGTGCAGGCAAAGCAGTTTTCTGCACAAAAAGTTCACCTATCAGCGTGCAAAGCAGGCCCAAAACACTGAGTCACCTCCTGCTAAGGCCAGATGTT